TGCATTTATTCATTTCAAGTTTTATGCTTTTTGATAGACGAAAAAAAAAAAAAAACCACAAGCTAGGTTTACACCTTTTTTCCCTGTATTTATCGAAGTGGTAATTGTTTTATGAATCTTAAACTACATGTACACATGCATGATAATTGTAAGTGGATTTAACGTTTCTAATTCACAGGGGGAAATCCAACATGAAATTAAGCACTTTTGAGTTTGCAGTTATTTGCTACTAAACTTAAAATGATATTGTACAGAATGGTATACTATTTCGTCCAATAAACAGAATATTTTATTTGCCTGTACATGTACAATGTCAGTACGAATTTAATTGATGCAAAGCATCAAATTGGCTGCAAAGCAAAAAATTCTTTCACATGCAGGAAAGCACGTCAAGATATTCAAAGCTGAAATTGTTTTTCAATTCTATTTCAGGCTGTTTTCAAAGGAAAATAAAAAATAATTTTACCGCATTTGCTCATAAATAGATTTATCGATGTTAAAAAAAATCATGTTCATTGATGTATAAGAAGAATTGATTGTCATCAAAATGAAGGTGTAGGCCTGTCCGAGCCTCGATACCCTGGATCTTGATTACGTGATAATGCTCATGGTTTCTGCAGAGCAGGCTATGCTGCAAACCGCAGTGCAAAATTAAAAAAATATATCTTCATGATCTTTGTGTCATTTGTAGATGTAGAGCAAATTCAAAATAATTTTTACTAAAAGTTGAAAAACTCCTCAGTTTTTTATTCACCATGCACTTTAACTACATCATCATTATCCGGAAAATCAAGAGATTTCTTTTCAAATCTTACACACTCTCAGGCTGGGGAGTATCTGATGTAAACTCTTTTTATATGACCATAAATTATCGATGATCATGAGATATTAATGACAATGAAATTGAAATATATTTCAACATTTAATATTAAGTTTAAGCAAGTTTTTAAAATATTTTACGCATGATTTTTACTTGTTATAATTTACGAATTATTTTATTGAAGTAATAAAAAACGTCTAATTTCCCCATTTGCACTCTCTAACACAATCACATAAAGATTGGCCGCTACCGCAGCCGTTAATAATTACATGTTTTATATGTATGAACTTTTACATAGAAGAGCGGCTAAACATATACATCCAGAGCTTTCAGAATACGATTTTACAACATTAGAAAATTCGTTATTGCCTATTTATAATAAAATATAAATTAAATTCTTTCCTTAATTATTGAATTCCTATGTATTTAACTAGGTACTTAAATTATCGATTCGCTCTGATCTTTGGTTGTATAATGATTACAATGTATATAAACGTCCATCTGGTCAGTCATTGTTGCTTGACGACGTCTTGTTTTCTCCTCTCACATTGGTAGCGCGTATGAACACAAGCTTGTAAACAAAATAAACGGCAATTCACAAAACAGGAAAACCAGGGGAAAAAAAGTGTCTTTGTAGGTGAAAAACACAACTCATTAATTTGTTTTTGAACGACCCCATACATTTTTTTCTTTCTCCCATGCATTTCGACTATACGGAAAAAGATCACTAGAACCTTTGATTATATTAAAAGAAAGGTGTTGGACCTTCAAACGGCACTATATCCGAACAGCTATTATACAGCCTATCAAATATATCACGGCGTCAATAAAAGAATTATTTAGATATTTCAAAAAATACTAATTTCATTCTAAGAAAAGCCACGCAGCTGTATACAGACATTCAAAAATAATGTTTCATGGACCTACAGGTTGTTAAATTTCTCTCATCACTATAAGTACCCCATCCCTTAAAATGAATACAATGTCTTCCTTCTAAGCAGAGAATGTCAGTCGGTTGATTTGTTTTTGTACATGCATATATACATGTAGTTTAGGGGTTGAATTCCGAGACCGAAAGTTACTACCTATTTTTATGTAAACCAATAATCATACATGACATGTAATGCCCTGCCATGAATATGGCCAAGGCATTTGGTGTTTGTCGGACGTCTTCCATCCTTCCTACTTTCTGTCCTTCCTTCTCTCCTTCTGTCACACTTTGCCTTTAGTTCAGTTCAAAGCTCAGTTTCAAACAAATTATCCAAGATATTTTTATCAATCTTTATATACTGATAGTAATTAATTAGAGTTATGCAATTGCATTAACATTTTTTTAAACTTGACTTCATATACATGTATATACCTCACTTTTCTTAAATTAGTGTTTAGCTCAGTTTTAAACATACCATTCAAAATGGTGTTATCAAACTTCACATGTTGATGCATACTGATGAGATGTATTTAATGGCATCACCATTTTTGAACTTGGCCTTTCTTTTGACCTTGACCTAACTCTATTTATCTTAATTTTAGCTCTAACGAGAGTTAGTTATTGCTTAGCAGAAGGTCATTTGGAAAGATCAAGGTCACACGTACTAGTATTCCTTTACAGTCTTTTTCCTAGCGAAACATTGTAAGTTGCTTCTCTTACAAGGTTTTTTACTTGTATATCTTTAGTATGTGGCTTTTGACCTCGACTCAAGGTTACGTCTTCTAGTCCGTAGCTCCAACGGTAGACCTATTCGTTGCTTTGCAACGAGCTCGGCTCTAGTTGTAATATTGTTTATTTCTTACTTATAGACCGCTGAGATATGTAAAACATGTTTTCTCTTAGGCATCCATTGGTGTTAGGATTTTTTCACCCATCTTTTATTGAAATATTTTTAGATTTTTTAATAAATATTTTAATTTCATGATTTATAAAAACTGAGATGATGAAATGCTAAAGTATCTTTAAAGTAAATCTGTCATTTACAGATATCATGGTGCACATAGCAACGATATTTTGGCGCAAACACAGATTTTGATCGAAGGTGGGATTATGTTACAATTTTTTTTTTTAATTAGGGATTTCTCAATTAATACGACCATTGCACAGCTCAAATGAGTTATCTAAATACATCTCTTTTTTACTCGGTGTTTTAATTTTTTATAATATTTAAGCAGTTTTTACAAACGTCCTTATTTTTTTTTTATCTTAGCAGAGACCACTTTTAAACAATTTTCAGCTCAGAGTGGTATCCAAGCTACTTGAAAATGAATATCTTTGCGAAAACTGAAAGATGTTTTTTGCATTTATGACTTTTGATATATGGTATTCTTCTAAAGATCAAAAAAGTGATTTATAGACGTTTCTTCTGTCAGTTGACCGATAATGTCAATTATATGCTTTTCAACTACATTAGATCAAATGTTTGGACATTCCATAGATAAAACTGTGCAAGATCCCAGCAAATGTGTGATCATCTCTGCTTGTCATTGCACAAGAACAAGTTTTTGGACATCCCTGCACGGCACTGTGCAAGAGCAAAGTATGCATGCATGACTGAATCCTTGTGTGAGCTGCTGGTGTGAGAACTCCCCTGCAAGTGTTTTCCTGTGGTACAACTGTCAGATCTCAAGCGTGTGGTCACCCCCTGCTCGTTACTGTCATGTGGTGATGAGTAAAGACGATTTCCCCGTATAGAACTGACTGATAGTGACAAGTATGTGGCCATTCATGCTTGTCACTACACCATGATCACAGTCATATTTTATAGACCCGTGATAACCATGTGAACTCTATTACCTATCTATCTCTTAGTTAAGGAATACTATAAGAGATACCTGATGAAGTTCATATTTTTGTGACATTTGTTCAAATCGAATTATATTCAGCCACCTTTAAGAGAAAATTAAGCTTCATGCTTTAAAGATCGCTTTTGTTTTTTTTTTTGAATTGTAAAATTGACGTGCGAATATCAGACGAGGATTTTTTTTAAAACCTTGACTAAATTTTCTTTACATTCTTTTTTGATTTTTCATTTTGAAACTTATGTACCAGTATCCTTGTTATCATGGATCTAAAACCACAGAGGAAAGTAAACGTTTAAAAATTGAGGAAAGAATAGAGGAAGGAAAATACAAGCATTGATCATTGATGCAGACAACTGCAAAAAAGACGAAGTGTTAAAGGTAAAAGGAAAGAATAATTATAAATTTGTAAAATCCAAATGGAGAAGAGCAATCTAGCTTAAGAGCAACAAAAATGTTAGATATTTTATTCAGTGTTTCCTAACTAAGAGTTCCTAGAGTGGACACTTTTCTCTTACAGAAATGAAATTATTTGTAATTGTGAAGGAATAACGGTAAGTTTGGTTTTCTCTTGGTTACTTTGGCAATGTTTTGAATATTGCTTGAAACTCTCAAAAATTACCTAAAATCTTAGAAATCAATTCGCAATTTATCGAATTTTTGATGTACTAACAAAACCAATTCATAATAGTTGAGTTCACGTTATATTAAGAAGTGAAGTAGGTATACCGGCTTTACTTTCGTTGCATTTTTGCAATCCCAATATTACCTAATATGGACCATATCCAAATAATTATAATTTTAAAGTAACCTCTTCTTACTTGCAACAGCTTGGCGCAAGTTAATGCCAAAAAATTGATTTGGACGTCAATATCACATAATTCAATATGAAAAAGAGGCAGATAAGGAACAGTGATCGTCGCCCGTGTGGCGCAGTGGTTAGAGCGTCTAATCTATCTAGAGTAGCGGAGTAAGGAGCTAATCCTAATGTCGCGGATTCGAATCTACTGCATGATTTGAAGACCTGTCCTTCGGATGAGACCTTATCAACCGAGGTCCCGTGTCAAAGAAGGTGTTGACATGAAAAAGACCCATCACTGCTCAATAGCACTAAGTGTCGAGTAATATTTTAATTCGCAAGATATTAAATTTTATCATTGCTTTCGACAAAAAGAAATGTATATTGTATATTTAACATAATCACATGATATTTTGATAGTATCAAGTATTGAAAAGAAGGGAAGAAAATGTTTGCATAAAAATTCTGTCTTTTATTTAGATTATGAATGACGATAAAAAAAAACCCCCAAAATGTTACGGAAAGAACGGTATGTCAAGATCAATTAGACAAACAAATGCTTTAATCATTTCTTGTGATTTCAGATATGCTTTAAAAATGGCCAAGAAGAGGTTGTGCTTTATCCGAATAGCTATACTCATGTGGATATCATGTAAAATGATTAAATCCTTCACAATAAATCCATTTTCCAAATCCATTTGCCTTTATTCGGCTAAAAAAGTCGATTGTTCCAATAGAGGTTTGAAGAACATATCATTTCTCAACTTAAAACCCGAAATAAAAACCCTGGACCTATCCGAAAACAACTTCAGTAATGTAACTGATAATTTTTTCGAACCGATACGGAAGTCAAAAATAAGTTCTGTTCATGAAGAGATGTCAAATTAAGTATATATCGCCCAAAGCATTTGCTCTTATTCCGAACATACACACCGTTGATCTGTCTTTCAACAATCTTACTATCAGCGCTCTGAGGCAAGGTTTGAAAGGTTTCAATGGCTCCAGTATAGAGCATCTTGACATCTCGAATATCATTTCAAGTAAAAAGCCACAAACTCTACCTCGACACCTTTTCCGAAGTCTCCAAAATACGAAATTAACCAGTCTAAAGATAAGAAGTTGGAATTTAAATGAAGTTAATGGAAACATTTTTCAAAATCTATCTTGTCTACACACATTAGATCTAAGTATGAATAAGATATATTCTTTCAAAATGAAGGGGCTCTCGAAAATTAGACTTTTAAACTTGACTTGGAACAAGATGATTTACTTACCGGAAATGTGTAATAATCAAAACAGATCACTGGTACCAAAGTTGAATAAACTGTATCTTGCAATAAATCATCTTCTTGATTCACAAGATTTCCAAAAACAAGGACATTGTTTACCGAATTTATTCTATCTCAATTTATCATTTAATTTACTGGATAGAATCAAATCGAATTCATTTTCAACCCTAAAAAAATTAGGAATATTGCGCATTGGAAACATGTTAACATATGATTTAGTTATAGAAGAGGATGCACTCAATTCCAAAACATTGAAAATGCTGTTTCTTGGAAGTTATAAAAGAGTGTCAAAGGATACATTCAATCCAAAAACACTTTTTAAGAAATGCAGACAGTTAACAAGACTAGAAATGTCGAAGTTTGATTTCTCCGATTTTTCTATTGAAAATTTCCGTGTAATGATATCACCTCTCAAAAATCTAAAGGAGCTTATTTTACGTCAGAATAATGTGAATAATGTTCCTGATACGTCCAATTTTCCCAATCTTACCTTTCTCGATTTAGAAGGAAACATGATTCGGCAAGTACACAAAGATTTTTTTCAAAACAACACACAACTTAGGAGCATTAGTTTAAAAAGAAATCAACTTACAACAATTCGACAGGATACCTTTACCGATGAAATGTGGAGGGATCCAAACCTATCCATAGATATATCGTATAATCCATTTGCTTGTGACTGTGACCTTGAATGGTTTATCATATGGGCGAACAAAAAAGGTATAATATCGAAAAACAGCGATTATCAATGTTATTCTCCCGAGGAATGGAAGACAACTAGACTTGATATCCATATCCAAAGTCTAAAGACTAGTTGCCATCCAGTAAATAGAGTGTTTATCACAGTTTTAACTATTTTTTCCTTCATGTTTATATTTCTTTTTGGATTGATACTTGCATGGAAGTTGAGATGGGACATTAAGTATTATTTACATACTTGTAGATGGAAGGACGAAAGACGAAGTAGATATCAAAAAATTATTGATAATGAGTTAATAGAGTACGATGGATTTGTGGCATACAACACACGTGACCGGAAATGGATTATGTCAGAACTTGTCGATGTCATTGAACAAAAAGAACATTACAAACTTTGTCTTCATGAAAGAAACTTTTTACCAAGTTGTGCTCACGTTGATAACATACTAGAAAGTATTGAAGCCAGTAGAAAATTCATATTGGTACTTTCTAACAATTTTATGAGTGACCAATGGTGTAATTACGAAGCGATCATTGCCAATCACAAGTTAGCAGATGGAAACGGGGACAGAATCTTTCTGATTTTGCTAGGAAAAATCAATTCCAAACATTTCACAACCGCGCTGAAAACTTTATTAAAAGCTGTAGAAAATGCAGAATGGACCTTGAACGAAAATGGAAAGAAATTGTTTTGGAAGAAACTGAAAAGATTCATGGAAAAGTAAACAGATAACTTCAACATTCAGGATTTTAATGGAGCCAATTTTACTGATACTTCTTGTAAATTCATGATGGTTTTGTTTGTTTGTTTTTAACACCCGTTCGAGATTTTTTCATTTATTTTCATCAGTTGCGGGTGGAAGTGTTGAATATTTAGACTTAAATTGTGAGTGTGTGCTTGGATATTTAATGTTTTATATTTTATTTCAATTGATGGATAAATAAAGAACTATATGCGGTATATTGCATATATTTGCCCCCACAAAAGTCAAATTTTGAAAACTTCCTAAAATGTGCTGAATTCTATAAATTGTATGAGAAATATAAATTAACAGAAAATATTATAGTGTCAAAACAATTTTTGTTTTGAATGTCCGATTTTATATCCTTTTTCAGAAAGAGGACAAAATGGACAAAATTTCAACAATTATTTAAAATTGAATGTTTTATATTTTATTTCAATTGATGGATAAATGAATTTGCTCAGTACAATATATCTGCTATGAAGGGAATTCTGTTTAACAAGTGATATATCTCCATCAAAGATGGGCAAAAGATTACCGAATAAAGTTCTTTTCTCAGTACAATATATCTGTCTTTTAACAGGTGATAAGCCCTCTCCCATCATAAAGGTCAATGTGATTTCATAAATTTTAATTTTAGAAGCAGATAAAAAAAATTAAAATTCTGTCAAAATTATAAACGACTGACCCTTTTTAAGGAATACCTGAAGAATGTTCATTATAAAGGTTGATTTATTCTTACCTATATTCTATAAGGAATATTTTTGAAAATGTTTACTACTGTGGCTAATAGATTTTTTTTTTTTTACAAAGGATTGCTTTATACAATTTTTTGCTTTATAAGTGTGATAATTTTCGTTTACTCTACCTTCGTTAATATAACAATTAAATTGCAGTCAGATTGATAGTGTTCAGTGCACTCCTTAGATGTGATGTTTGTCAGCAGGAATTAAAAAATACATAACTAAAAGAAGCAACATATTGAAAATAACTTTAATCTTGTAAATAGAAAAGCAAACAAAACAATCAAATAAATAAAAATAAATAAATAGAATTAATACTAACACAAAATATCAGAAGAAAAGTTGAATAATACATAGGGTAAAAAAAGATGAGATTTTATCCACAACACGGAACACTTAAAGAATTTTATCTTCCTAACAGTGTCATCGAAACAGAAGCGAGTCATGATCATGACTTAGATTTGTAATATAATAACATGTTAAAAAAGAAGAAGAAAAACAAATTAAAACAATCGAACAAACAATGGTTAAGCACAAAAATTTGACGTGAAATTTTAATTCTTAAATTAATTAGTGACAAATAATCAATTTTCTTACTAAGTAAGCATAGTCACAGAGATATTTATCTTAAGTCAGTTAATTAATCTTATCTAAATTTTAAAGCCCTTAATTTAAACAAAATTTTTTTAATCGACAAAAATATATATAGTTATGTTCCTAACTTCAAAAGCCAAGAGAGAATTTGGTTAATATGGTAAATATTAAACCTGTAAAACGGGTCATATACGGTACCAATTTTGATGAACCAGATGGGCATTTCATTTAATCGTGTCTCTTTAAATGTATTTCGAAAACTTTAAGTGTTATTGATTAATTAACGCGATACAAACTCTATCTTTTAAGAAATAAGGAAATATTGGTGGTTATTGAGCTTGAATTAAAAATATCTAACAAGTATGTACAATAAAATTTCTTGAAAATATATAATTCTGCACAATTGTAAATCAAGTTTTGCTACATGATTTTCAACATCCTATCAAAACACTGCTTTTTTTATATGAGTGTTCAACCCCCTGCTACCTAAAACTGAAATTAACGATCGTTACATCATTGTTTCATTGCAAGTTTAATCTTGTTCCAGAAAAGTTCCCTTCCAAGAGAATGTGCCTGTGGCCATCTTATGTAGGTCATAGAACGAAATAACATGTGCAAAGAGTCCGTCATGTATTTGCTCTGTATTTCTCCCAACAGCACCACAATTAGTACATTGGCCCCGTCATCAATCAGTCGATTCTGTGCCACCAAAGTCTCGTACTGACACCATTGACTTTTTGCAAAGCTGTTTGATATTACCAGAATGACCTTCCTACTTCTCTGTATGGTGTGAGAAATTTGTGAGAAAATGGTCCTTCCAGGAAGGAAGTCTCTCTCGTGAAGACATAAGCGATATTGCTCCTTACCCTCAAGTTCCGACATCAGGTTGGAGATAACCCACGAACGATCATCTTCATTGTAGGCAACAAAGGCATCAAATAAAAAATCGGACTCATCCGTTCCTTCTATTTTTTCATATCCTTTCCGTGATCGGAGGAGATAAGCATAGTACTTAATATGCCATTTGTATTTTTTGTAGAGAACAACGAGAATGATCAGCAAAATAAAAATGGAGACTGCAGTGATCGCAATCACTCCTTGTGTCGACAAAGAATGACATTCATAATATGATGGGTTATAAACCGTCAAGGTTCGGTTGTACAGATTTATTGGAGAGGAACACTGGTAAGATTCTTGCTCTTTTTGGAACAAAATACCTCTCCTTTCTATAAGTACAGAGTTTATGAACCAGTATAGGTCACAGGTGCAAGCATACGGGTTGAAGCGAAGGTCTAGAAGAGAAAGACTATCCAGTGTTGAAATGGAAATAGAATTATTGTCAATCACACTGAATCTATTTGCCGTTAATGATAAACTTTCAAGATACTTCAAATCTTCAAATAAATAAGCATGTAAAGTGCCAATAAAATTGCTTCCAAAATCCAGTATTTTGAGACGAGTCAAATTAGAAATTATATGAGGAATTTGTAACAGATGGCAATCGTATATAACAAGCTCCTCGAGGTTGATCAAAAATTCCAACAATAAAGACATATTTGCATTCATCAGATCAAATCGCGCCATCTTTAATATCATCAGCTTTGGTATGTTGTGGAAAACACAGCTTGAATCAAAAGATGGAGGATATTTTGCACCGATGTTCCCAATGTGGAGTTCTAGCAGAGAGGTGGAAGATAAAGATCTTTCCTCAAAAATATTTTCTACACTGAATAAATTTTTAAGATAAAGATTTGTTAAATTGGGTAGGTGGACAAATGTATCGTTCCTCAGAATCCGTATTGGATTGTAAGAAAGATCCAAATGAGTCAGAGAGGTCAAGCACATTGATGACTTTTCCAAGTTTTTCAGATTTGAAATGTGGTTTTGTTGGACATCCAAATACACCAATGATGGAGTCAAAGACTTATTATTCGAATCACAAAATAATGGAAAAAATATAATTTCGTTTAATTTTAGAGATAATATCGAAATATTGCCCAGCCCCTCAAGCGATATATTATATATTCCATTGTCATCGAGCGTGAGATTCTCGATGTTTGGTAAATTTTCAAAAATGGAACTGTTAATTCTGTTTTTTATTTTGTTCTTATCCAGAAAGAGTTTCCGTATTGACCTGCTTTTTACAGCAGCAAATCTATTAATATTTATTTTTGTTCCAGAGAGGTCGAGTTCTTCAATTCCTAAATTTAATATATCCGATAAATTTACTTCCTCAAAGACATTGTAACTAATGTTTAAGTGTGTAAGATTCTGAAATCCTTTGAAGGCGCCGACGCCTACCACAAGAATGTTACATTCAGACAAATCTAAATAGTTCACTTTAAGTTCCCTGGACACATTCTCAAATGTCTTACTTGTAAGATTCTGGTAAAAATTCCCTGAAAGATTTATTTTCTGAATTCCTTGTGGAAGCCGTGGTATATAAGTGAGATTTTGATTAGAACAATCTGCAGTACGACTGTAGCACCGACAGATGGATGGACAATTATTTGCTGCCACAGTAAAAATACAAAATAAGACCCAAACTGTGCTGCTGCTGGTGAAGTCTCTAGGCAGAATTCCCCACATTCTGCAATAATATTAAATGTTTATATTTGAATACACTTTCTCTTGTACATTTGTAATTGCAGATTTAAAAAGTTCTTGAACCTTTGAAAAAAAGAACACAAAAAATATTAGTGTTATTAGAAAATAAGAAAAACGGGATTAGCTGCTATGTCAAATTTGTCAAATTACATAATAACAAGCAACATTTGTCTTCTTAAAAGACTTCCATTCTAATTATTTTAAGACTCCCAATGTTTTGTGTTGCATGTATTCTATAGGTTTAATATTTTGAATCACACTTTCTTTTATTTTTTTGTACAATTGTAATTGCAGATTTAAAAATTATCATAAAGTTAATAATCATAAAGTTATTGAACCTTGGAAAAAGTTACCAGTGTTTTGTAATTAAAAAACTGCAATTGATCATTATGACTAAACTTTTTCTCATAGGATATTACAATATTAAGCAGTTCGTATATCGGATCAAGGTACAAGGTACGTTAAAAATTGGAATAAAAATACATGTATGTTACTGCATTGTTGTAGAATAAAGCGACAGAAAATACTAGTAATAGTGTCATTAAGAAATTAAAAAAAAAAAACCTAGATTAGCTGCTTTGTCCAATTTGTCAATAATAGTGCCATTAAGAAATTAAAAAACCTACATTAGCTGCCTTATCCAATATGTCTATTAGCTATGATATTGCAATTCTATAGTGATTCTCTCGAAGTCATCCAAATTAACAATAAACACTGAATAAAAATGATATACAGTGTATGGACAAAGTTGTATGAATTGTTTGGTATCTAATTTGGAACTACTGTATTCTGTGGGTGAATGTCAAGGTAAAAAAGAGCTGGATATACAATGTTGTAAACGTTTCAAAAGCAAATCTGCAAGATTATTTATTTTGAAGGCACTTGTAACTTACGCAAATCCTAAATCTGCTGTAGGAAATCGTTAATACTTGTTCAATAATGTCCGTATTTGTGAAATAATTGCTTAAATTTCATCAAATACAAGTGAAGTCTAAAGAGGGTTTCATTGATGGTCATAGAATTCTCAAATTCCGGAGAGAGTGAAATTTTATCATTGCTTCCTCATTTTTGTTGTTTAGATTTAGATTCAAATTAATTCGTCACAACATGATTGAAAAATAAGTTTCTGTAGATTTATCGCGTTGCTGTATTTTGACTTTCAATACAAACTCATACGTATTATAAGTCATACATGTATATCTAAGGAAGAATGCAATAGAAATATTGCTCTTATACGAAAACTTTTTACATATTAAGATATGTGTATTAGCATTTTCAAATCCTGTTCAAAATTGTTTTACAATATTTGAAAAATGAAATATATGGAGACAAGCATCAGTATTCCAGCTTAAAAATCTATTAAAAATACAAATCAGGAGCAGGGCAAACACAGACATCCTAATCATAAAAGGTTGCAGTACAATTACATGTAAGGTGACAAATGGAAATTTCAGCAATATTTTTCAGGAAAAAAAATACATTATACCTTACAATAATGGGCGATTCTTTTTAGGACTTTACTGATATCAGACAAATGATCTACATGTTGAGGATATTTTATATTTTCATTTAGAACAATCTATTGGAATTTCCATGGGTGCCAATTGCGCATCATTCTTACAACCAAGCTCTATGCTAAACTGGATGACTTTAACTTTTCAATTGTCATCTTCCCTAGCGTATGTAGCAATATACCTTCATCACATCATACGGAGTTTATATCTTTAAGTTGATTCGATGCGCAAGAGCATGCTCTACATACGTATAATTTCTAAAACGAGGTAAATTATTGACAAACAAGTTGATGAAACACGAATATCAACAGTCTTGTTCAACGTCACCCTTTCGTAAATTCTATGATCGATAGAATGACCATGTTAGAAAATATATTTATCATTGAGTAAAATGCTGGCAGACATTTTTCATACGAATTGTTTGTCTATTATTTACACACTGAATTGACGATGGATTCTTCCGTTATTTCTCGATCATGACAAGGTCGGCAGGGGATGCTCACTACTCCATGGCGCCTGATCCAACCTCTGATGTTTTGATTTTTTTTATGTTTTGAGATACGTGTTTGCTCTTCTCCTATTTTGTGTTGTTTTAAGGACTTTTGAGCTTGCATACTGTCCGTTATCTCCATTTATTTCATTTAGACTCACGTGATGTTGGAGTCACACGATTTTAGCATTTTTACCAAGGAAAGAAAATGTCAAGTAAATATATTGTAGGACTTATAACAGCCATAAGATAACTTTCCTGAATCGCAAGGTGCCCTTCCTTTCAAAAATGTACCATAGATAAGGATTACTGAATAAGACAAGCAGGACAGAGTTACACAGGAATTTTGAGGTAGTGACAAAATCAGTGTACTGTTATTATATCTTATCAGCAAAGCTGTGTTCATAGCATTACAGAAAATATAATTTTAAAAAGTATAGTGTAAAATATATACAGTTAAAAAGGTTCTTATTTTATAAGAATTAATTGTACGTCCTATAGGCAACAAAGCTTAAGATTCCAGCATTGATGAGACAGAAAAAAAATGGAATTCTGAAACTTTTTTGATGACACATAAATATGAATTGGAATGAGATAAACATTTCCATGATAATCAAAATAATTAAATATTTTTAAATATTTCAAGGGAAGCAATATACGAAATCAAGCCTCTTCTACAAGAGACAGTCTTTTAAATACAATGTTGCTAGAAATATTTTATATTATAAAGAAATTTACCTTATACTGTACCCACAACTTCTTCCAGACTTTTTTATCGACAATGAATTTAAGTATCAAAAGAATGTTTGCATTTCATGATATAAACTTCCTACATAGCAGACATCATTAGATTGAAAAGGAACACTTTCAGACAGTGATAACACCATAAGGAAGCGGACACTCTTAAAAATCACTAATAAACTAATAAATTCCTTATTATATAAATAAAACCCTTGAGAGAAAGAGAGAGAAGTAAATTTAATTAGATGTTATATAATTTTGATTTTGATTTTTGAGCACGCTTAATTGTGTATCGTAAAAGTTTGGGAATTTTTAATCTATGGTAAATTAAAGCATGTCAAAGTATTGTTCCAGTATAGACCATTTTTTAAAACTAGTGCTAAACGTAAAATTCATTCATGTTCAGACAAAAATTTTGTTAAAATATACACATAAAATGACTTTGGTTAGAATCAACATTCTCTGTTTCTGATACTAAACCTTAACATAAAAGTTTTAATACGACTCTTGCGTTAATATGTTACAAATATCTTATGAATAGAAATTATTTTTTTATTCAGATGTGGAATCTATGAAAAGTTTTGTCCTATTTTAAAAGTGTCTCCTTTTATATTTCAAAGAAATATGAAATTCAATGATACTCACTCACTCAATCCTCTCTGCGCCATTTGGTACCTGAGGCAGCTACAAGGTATTTCCAACTGGCTCGGTCTGCAGCTGCTCGTGGTGCTGTCTCCATGGATAGACCTCTACTCTTCAGATCTTTCAGGACAGTTCTTCTCCATGTCTCCTTTGGCAGGTGTAACGACGAAAAGTGACCCCCGTAGAATATTGACCGGGGGGTCGTTTTTCTACGTAGAAATATGACACCCTGGTCAATATTCTACGTAGAAAAATGACCCACTTTTCTGTAGAAATTATGGCTTTGGGGTCATTTTTCTCCGTGTGCATTGTAGAAAAATGACCCCGTAGAGTAATGACCCCTTGTCATTTTTTGATGCTAAAACATTCGTTTTGGCAGGAATATTTCTGTTAGGCGAATGTATACGGGTAATATCAAGCTGCCTTTTGTTTTGAAGTGTTATTTCTGAAAGCTTTTAAGCTTAGATAACGAACTATACAATACCTTTCATTAATAATACAAACTGTTTTATCCTCATTTAAGGAAAACAATATTAAAATGTTCTAACTAAAGGATACGCGCATTCATAGAAACGTTTATTACATTATATACAATAAGTTTTCACAGTTGTCATTTTAATCTTTAAAAAGGTTATTTTCTAGTTGCTGTCAGAAAAAAATTCCATAATTAATTAATTATGAATCTCTTTGATTTACCCTGGATAAATAATTTGAAAAAATCAAATTAATTTTTTCAAAATATTTTTTTCAAAAGTTTATACGTTTTTGATCCCTTCTTTTAAAACTGGCGCTAGCTTAGAAAATAAGATCTTATAAAAATATTTCAAGGTTTTCTAAGAATGAAGTTTTAAACTTCTTATAAAAAATAGGGATGATTTAATTTGTAGAAATAAGTACGAAATTAAGTTGCCTCTGACCTATGACACAAGGGAAAGAAAATGTGGTTAGCTCAAAACCTGTAAAATGTCTTTTGTCATTTGCTAGTGTCAACGAAACCTTAACAAATTGGGGGTTGTAGCATAAAACATGATTAACTACCAAAAAAAAAAAAAAAAAAAAAATTGCGGTCTTTCCAAAAATTGGCAAATGTAGTATCGTTTTCCCCGTTCTACATGTACTTACATATAATGATTTTAGGAGTTTTTCACCAATAGAAAAACAAAAACAAATGATGGATGATGAAAACTAAAGGATTTTAATTTAATGATATACTTATGTCCACATAAAGTTTCGGGGGGGTATATAGTTTTTCACCTGTCCGTCTGTCTGCTTGAATATTTGTCCACATAAATCTTGCCCATCTTTAGACTGGGTGGGACTATGGTTTCCATACATATTTCACAGGTGTATATTTGTGACAAGACCTTTTTTGTGTACAACCAATTTTGACCATAAAATTTTGACATTGACCTTGGAGTTTGACACATTTTTACCCCAAATTTCTACACTTTTACTTTAGCATTAACTTTTAGACGGTATATACTGGCATTTTATATCGAAGTAATGGCATGGTAGACGAATAGAGTTCATTAATTTGCAAAGGTAATGTCTATAAAATCACAGAAGAAAGGTAACAGCAACTATTGGTCAGGTATCTGTCCGCTAAAAGCGTTAAAAAGGGAAGCAGTTTTTTGAAATTATAGATATCTCTGAATGTTGAACTGCTATTCACTCAGGTGTAAATTTTTGCCAGTTTTGGTAGAATTTTCAATATCATTATAAGAACGTTCTCGGTGTGTGTGGTATTTTCTGTATATACTTTATACAAGGTAGTTAAATAGTGTGTATTTTAATGCACAAGCCCGCCCCTTCAACTTGCGTTGGAATTTCATAAATATTATGGATTCTATTCAAAATTACGCCAGACAATGGGCAAGATATGAAAAAGAAGACGTTGACACTTCAGAATGCATTAAATGTATCAGATGTATGTATGTATTAAAAGATTGAGGGGCAATATGAAAACAATATATCCTTCTGTGTTCAATAATCCAGAAGTGAGAAGAGTTAAATAGATTACATGATCAGTACATACTGGTCCCTACCGACAAACAGGTAATGATATTGTCTTCGTTTTTTGGGTTCATTATAAAAATTGTGTTTTAGAAGAACTTGGATTTAATTCTACAAGTGGTAATACCACTTATACTCATACTTCCCTGTCTGAGGAAGAAATTCTTTATAAAATCATATGTCAGTTTTGAATATTTTTAATATTACACAGAGCCAAAATGAAATTGAACTACCCTATATATATATTGGATTCCGAAATTTCATAAGAAACCTTACAAACAAAAATACATAGCGGGTTCCAGTTAATGTTCAACCAAAGATATTGACAGAAATGAAGGGAAAACTTCAAGAGTACTGTGCAACAATATATAGTATTCAAGAAGTGGTGTGAATCAGATGTGGATACTAAAAATTCAAAAGAACTTTTGAACAATTTGAAACCACAAGATTTTACCAAAATCAACAGCTTAAAAACTAACTACTTTTCAACTTTATACACAACCATTTCCCACGATAAATTAAAGTACAGAATTTTTTATATTATTGACAGCTGCTTTTTCAGTAAAAATAGAACTCGTTATTTTTTTTTTTTACCTGGTAATTGGTCATTTGCGAAATTATTTTTTAAAACACACTCTGATTACACACACAAATACTCTGAGTTTCTGATTAAAAAAATCTATGTTGTTTTTGGAGACCAGGAAGAAAAACTTGCTGTGGCCTACAACTCAATATTTAGATATATCGACGACGTATTGTCAATTTACAATGGTAATTTCCATTCCTACGTCGATATGATGTATCCAGGAGAGCTTGAGATAAAAGAGTCTGACACATCTGTTTCATTCTTGGATATTTTACTTGAAAAGGTCGTTAAAGGTAATCTAACAACCAAGCTATATGATAAACGTGATGACTTTAACTTTTCTTTCGTCAACTTCCCTTACTCACGCAGCAATAAAACTTCATCACCTGCATACGAAATGTATATGTTTCAGTTGATTCAATACGCAAGAGCATGATCTACGTATGAACATTTTCTTAAACGAGGTAAATCATTGACAAGCAAGTTGATGAAACAAGAATATTTGTTTAAAGTCATCATTTCGTAAGTTTTATGGTCGATACAATGGCCTAGTCAGCAAATACAATTTATTATTAAGTCAAATGCTGACTGACGTTTTTCGTGCTGATTGCTAGTCCATTATTTTTACATTGAATTGACAGCGGGTTTTCCCGTTATTTCCCGATCATGACAAGAATCACACGGCAGGTGTGACCGGTCAGCAGCGGATGCTCACTCCTCCATAGCACCTGATCCCACCTCTGATGTATTAGAGGTCCGTGTTTGCTCTGCTCCTATTTTGTATTGATTTGTGGACTTTGATATTGAATACTGTTCGTTATCCATATCCTTATTCCATACAGATGTATATGTAAGTTTAAATGTAAGAGCTAAGGAAATTGAATTTATATAGTTAAATAACGTTGCTTTTCTTGCTTTTATGCTATGTTTTTGGATTTGTAAAAAAAATCAAAGTTTATAGTTATCAGAAACATATCATGCCATTTTCGGGACAAAATGAATGAAAAAAAAACTGAATAAATATTCACTGGGATTCTGTAAGCCAAAAATAAATCCATACCATATACATGTACATTGATAGTGATGCTACTATTAATGAATGCAATCAAATATATGTTGGAAAGGATTTAAGTACTTAAAAAATTCCCTCCACTTGCATTTGAAAGTATGAACAAAAATCAGGACACACATATATATGGTTTTATTGGATGAAAAAGTAGGGGGTCAAAACTCTATGGGGGTCATTTTTCAACGTGTGTGGAGTCGTAGAATTACTGGTCTGGAATGTTTTTCTACAGTCGAAAAATGACCCCACTTGTCGTAGAATATTGACCCGGGGTCATTTTACGACGTAGAAAAATGACCCCCTGGTCAATATTCTACGGGGGTCACTTTTCGTCGTTACACCGGCCCCTGCTTCTTTTTCCATGGGGTGTCCATCTAAGGGCCACCCTGGACAGTGAGTTGGGAGGCAGGCACATGGCATGACCAAACCATCGCCAGCGTCTTATTTGGATGGTCTGTGATATTGTAGGCATCCCAATTCTTTCCAATAGATTTTCATTTTTGATGGTGTTAGGCCAGAAGATCTTGATTGACTTGAGGATGCGTCTGAGGGACTTGGTTTGGAAGACTTCTCTAGTTTCTTTTCTATCGCCAGAGATGTTTTCTAGTACTCTGATCCATACAAGAGGACACTGAGAACATTGTTTGGTGTTGATGTTGAGAGATGAGGATCTCCATATGGGTTTCAACATTCAAAAAACCTTATTTGCTTTGCTAATTCTGGTGTCTTCTTCGTTGTCGCAGTCGCCCGTTGTGGTGACCTTGCTACCCAGGTATGTGAACTCAATGATGATTGAGGCAATTCAATGATAAAGAAAATGAAGAGAAATTGAAAATAATATAAAGAACAGCGATCGATCAAAAAAAAAATACTAACAATACAAACATGTGTAGAGGACATAAACAAGGAACTATGTAATCATCATTCTACCGTTAAGATAAAATGCCTATATCACTGAAAGAAATGCTTAGTTAATTTTTTAACTAGTGTGCCTAGCAAAGCTTTTTTGTGGTAAGTAATCATTCTGTTTACTAGCTAAGATAGTGAGTAGAAGTTGTCTCGTAGAGCGCAGGTCGTATAGATAACAGGTAACCTGGTGAAGGTTGCTTAAAAATTCTAGATTGACTGATGTTATATACTTAATCTAACTAAAACCTAGTAAAACTTCTTTTAAGGTAATGATTGTATGGGCAGTAAATTTACTAGTCTTATTAGTAGATTTTACCATTTTATTTCTTGAAAATTATAAAGCATAGTTCCTCCGACATTTCACGTGATTAGCTATTATTATTGTGGCCAGGGGTAAAGATAGGGGCTTGGTAGAGCATTTGCTGGACCCACAATATATCTTTGTAAGGATTGATACTGTTTAGAAAAGATAAGAACTCAAATTTCTTATCTATTTCAAAGTAAACAACAAAAATCATTTTAGTCCCTATATCAAAACATGTATACGTGTAAATTCAGTAATAAGTCGTTTTCATTTTTCAAATATCGAACACCCCCAACAATCACTAACAAAAATGTTTTGAGTAAAAATGTTAGATACATATACATATATCATTGCATAAAAGCCCTCGTGTGCGACATTTGAGAGGGAGGAATGTAACTATTGTACCCTTTGAATAAAAGTTAAACCAATGTTTTCTTACATAAACTAATGATGTCTAAAGCAAAAAGGACATTTTTATTGTTGAAAAGCTTCAAATCAATATTAAAAATGTTCCATCCAGTCTGTAATAAATTCTATTTTATTTTGTCTGCTGTGCATTTATGGATCGAAATGAGATATCAGACACACGGCTATAGATAGGGTATTCAAAATTATGTCATCATTTAATGATAACGATTGAATTTTTTTTATCAAATATTTTATCCACATCTGAAGGCTTAGGTGTTTTACTAGATCATGTTGTTTTAAAGTTTAAATAACATGACGTGCAATACCAATATCGTATGTAGTCTGCTTGACAGGTAAAAACCTAAAATACCAAGAAGACAATAGCGTTATTTCGGTGCAAGATATTAAGGTCTGAAGGATTATCTTTACGATAACGAGCAAAAAAGAATCAGAGTGCATATTTATCGTCCTTTGAAAAGAAAATTGAAAATAGAAGATTGTTCTTTGTTGCATGAGAGCATAGGTAAGATACTTTAGCTTATGTCGCTTTGTTGAATGGTGAAATGAATGAATTTCATTGATCATTTATTATTGTTTTATTTTTTTTTCACAAATCATGGCGTAAAAGCATATATACTAAAACTTCAATTAATAAATAATAAAGTTAAAATCAATTTTTTGACGCATAAACATAAATAAGGTTGCAACGTAGATATATATGATAAGAAAACCAGTCGATTAATTATATATCATGTATTTTCAACAGAAATATTGCAAAAAAATTCTCGAATGCGCAAAGCCGCATGGTTCATAAACTCAACGTGTGATTCTCATGTTAGATAATACTCGACAATACTTTAGCAATCTATTTCCGCTTTATTGATTGTTACATTTAGGTATACACACTCAGCTAAAATGTCCGACTAAACGTCTATATTAATTAGATAAGTAGAATGTAATGCATCGTGGCTGATTTATTTGCGATATAAGTTGGAAAAGATATTTTGGTCACATTTGTTTGTTTGACCAGCATATTATAATCTTGTCATGATCGACATTTTACAAAATGGCCGCCAATAATGTTGGTTTTGAATGGCTTTCATTTTCCAGATCTAATGATAGAAGAATACTTAATGTGTAACTTTAAAGAATAATTCAGTTCTGAGCAAAAATCAAATTTGACAATATACCGTTACATATTTCAACCATTTCCACGTGACCTAGAAAACATTTTTATACTTTTACACATTTCAATGTTGCAATCTCTTCTTAAATTATCTGAGAGTATGCGATGAATATGCATCAGTCATTCAAAACTTTTTTTTTACTTCTGCATATATCAATGTTATATACTCGTTTTTAATTCAGGGGAGTAATGTTACTAGAGAGTATACGATGATCATGAAAAAAAAAAATCAAAAAACTTTTTTTTCTCTTTTCCATATTCAGCAAAGACATGCTGTGATTGTTCTTTTCGATAAACGTCTTTCTTGGACAGCAATAGAGACTTTTAATTTTTAATTTTTTTTCTCACATCAATTCTTTTTCCTTTAAGACGTATAGCTTCTCAGATTTTGATAGTGTTGCATGTTATTTAGAGACATGGATCATGTTGAACGCCTATGCATATGATGATAAAAAGAAGCAGTCCAATATATTTCTAAAGTATCTAATCCTACGTTCGCAAAATGTTTCAAGACACACAATTTTAGGCAGACTATAAAATAATAAACGAGACAATACTAATCTGTCTTAAACACGTAAAAGTGAAAAAAATGGCGGGTTCGATGATAACTTGCATGCTTCATCTTTAGAAAGTAAAAAAAAAATCTACTGTATAATTTCATGTTTTCTAGGTATTGCAATGTCTATTAAGAGAGAAGAATCTTCATCACAAGGAAAGGATATTGAACAAATAAAGTAGGTATCTAGTTTAAAATTTAATAGAAAAAAAAATTAAACTTGTTTATTTAAAATACATTTGTATAGTTGTAGGCAATCGGAGGCTGGAAGAGTGAAAAGACTCACTCAAACTTTTGAGGACATCACCCTACAAAAGTAAACTATTATACCTCACTTTTATATGTTTTCTGTGTTAATTTTCTACATTAATGGTGATCTTAAAACAAGTATAATTAAATATTTAATTTATTCTTTCACAGAACACAGATACATCCTAATAAACGGAAGTCTGGGTTTTTTTCTCACGCTCAGGCACCAGTTGGAAGCTACTCACAACGTTTGTAAGTTGTCTGCTATTTTAGTCCCTCAGGATTAGATGATTACATATATAACATATTTTATCCAAAATCAGATTTTTAAAATACCGGTATATTTATGAAAAATGCCAGTACTATTAATCTTCTATCTCATAAATTTATTTCAGGGATATTGACATTCCAAAATTACGTGAAATTTTTGGAACATTAATAAACCTACTTCAAAGAGAAGAATTTGATGAAGATATGAAATCAGAATTAGAGTGTATTTTCCCAAATTATCTCAAGATGCTTGAAGAAAGAATTTGCGATCTGGACAGAGAAGACAATGGAATTGTTGTAGCAGGTTTGTGTTGGTAAAATATTATGTATGCAGCATCACTTAAATCATATCTATAATAAAAAAAAATACGATAAACATTTCAATTATCAATGCACAAAAATATAGAAAAAAATCTATTTAGTCTGAGCAGTGTTGTATTTTTTGCGCTTGCACCTTTATCAACTCGGGACCTTAGTATATGCGATCTCATTTGAAGAATCGGTCTCCATATCATACAAAGGAAATGCGGCAGCGCTAACCATTCGTCCGCTGATGACGATTAATAGAAAGAGTAAAATTCAAATTCAATTCGAATGATGTATATGTAAAAAGTCAAAAGTGATACATGTAAAACATATAAAGCAAAGCAAACAATTGAACAGCATGATCACTTTTTTGTTTGTTTTCGTTACCGTTTTAAAAAAAAAATCATGAAAATATGTTTTAGTTTACAGTACATTCTCCTTACGCTTCTTACCTGCACACAGCTTTTAGGCATCCATCGTTACAATCAGGAAAACGGAATAAAATTGTCATTGAGGCAAATTTTCAGTAGTTTAAGTGTAGTTAATATTGTGATTTATAAAAAAAACAAGAGGCCGATGGGCCACATCACTCACCTGAGAAGCTTTGACCATTCTGTTCTTTACCAGATTTCCCCCTTGTAGTTGTAATACATATTGTGACCCCACCCTACCCAACTGATCATAATTTAGACAATTTGAAATCTACACTACCATAGGATGCTTTGATTCCCTATTGTAAAACTTTGATTCCCCATTGTGGTCCCGCCCTACCTCAGGGGTCATGATTAGAACAATTTAGAATCTACACTACTCCAGGATGCTTTCACATAAGTTTAAGCTTTTCTGGCCCAGTGGTTCTTGAGAAGAAGGTTTTAAAAGATTTTTCCAATATATTTCTATATAAAACTTTGATTCCCCATTGTGGCCCCGCCCAACCCTAGGAGGTCATGATTTGAACAATTTAGAATCTACACTACCCCAGGATGCTTCCACATAAGTTTCACCTTTTCTGGCCCAGTGGTTCTTGAGTAGAAGATTTTAAAAGTTTTTTCCTATATATTTCTATGTAAAACTTTGATTTCACATTGTGGCCCCGCCCTATCCCCGGAGGTCATGATTTTTACAATTTAGAATCTACACTAGCCCAGGACGCTTTCACATAAATTTCAGCTTTTCTGGCCCAGTGGTCTCGAGAAGAAGATTTTTTAATGCCCCACCCTATGGTTGTCTTTTTTTTTTATTATCTACCCTTGTGAGGGGACTTGGCCCTTTATTTTAACAATTTAAATTTCCCTTTACCCGAGGATGCTTTGTACCAAGTTTGGTCAAAATTGGCCCAGTGGTTCTTGAGAAGAAGTCGAAAATGTGAAAAGTTTACAGACGGACAGACAGACGGACGACGGATCAGAAAAGCTCACTTGAGCCTTCGGCTCGGGTGAGCTAAAAGCATTTTTTTTCACATACTGCATGTACTGTGTGATGTTTTATTTTTTATAGGGGAGACCAGCTCTGGAAAATCAACTTTGATAAATACACTCATTGGAGAAAATATACTGAAGTCTAGAACAACAGAAAATACTGCGACTATTTGTAGAAACTGGAATTCAGAAAACATTGGACTTAAAGTCTACAATGAAAAGTACGAATGCATCCATTCCAAACAAGATTATACAAAAGAACAGCTATCTGATTTTCGAAAAGAAGTTCAGAAGTTTACAGACGTGGGTAGCATGCCAAACGACTGCTCATTTGTGGATATCTTGTTTCCAGTTTCTCTTTTGAAGGTGTTTAGCATTTTTAAATTATTTGAAAAAAAAAATCAAATGAATTTTAGAGTGAAAAATTTAATCCATGGCATCTCTCTCTCTAATTATTTAGTTGGTTAGCGAACATTTCAAAATTTTGAAAGTCAAATGGAACAAAAACAATTTAGATAAGAGTAGATTGATTGATTGTAGACTGTTTAAAGTCCCTCTCCACAATATTTCACTGATATGGAGATGTCGCCATTGCCGGTGAAGGGTTGCAAATTTAGGCCTATGCTCGGCACTTACGGCCTTTGAGCAGGGAGGGATCTTTATCGTGCCACACCTGCTGTGACATGGGGCTCGGTTTATACGGTCTCATCCGAATCCAAAAAAATCAGATGAGACATCAGAAGCCATGGAAGACTAAGAATTTTCTATTGAATAGTGCTTTTCCGCAAACGAAAAATCTGCAGTTCATTCAACTTACGAATCACTGTTTAGTTAGCAGAGTATGCCAGGACATCAGTGATAGTTGGAAATGTGGATATGCATAAATTTTCCCACGGTTCCAACTATCGTTGATGTCCTTTACGTGCTCTACTTAACTAAACAGTGATTCCTTACATTTCCATTTCATGATGAGAAAATTCATGTAAAATACTTTCATGTAAATTTAGATTTTAAACATGTAGACTAATAGATTAAAATCACACAAGGCCTTTTATGCCAATTTCAACAGTCCCTGCCCACTTACGTCAAACACAAAGACAGACGCACGAGATTTACATGCATATTATGTCTTCTTAGCGTCAGACAAAAAGACAGACGCACGAGATTTATATGCACATTATTCTTCCTTAGCTCATGACGTATTGCTTGGCGAATGTTATCGAAGAGAAAACAAACAGAAATGAAAATATTGTAAAAAAAAAATGTAGCACGTTGTATGAAAAACATAATCAATTTCATATCACTTAATAAAATTTTTTTTCAGGGAAAAACAATTTTAGTGGATACTCCTGGAGTTGGAGGAAGTAAACGTTTGGCAGAGTTAATGATGAAGTACTTACAAAACGCAGTAGCCTTCGTTTTTGTAGTAAATGCATCTAATGCCGGTGGATTACAGGATGATAGGGTACGTCACACCTCTCTTTGCATTCTCGATATGTTGTTTAGCAATATATTTGTTGAACCATGTTCATTTCTTTCTTTTTTATTATATAAAACTTCACATAATTATTTATTGTTCATAATATAAATGTTTTATTTCACACAATTATGTCTTTAAATACTATTTGTTGCATTTGTTTTTGAATTTGAAAAAATTATGGTTATGCACTCCTATCTAATTCAGATAATGTCATGCAGTTCATTATAGCACCATCGAGCATCGACTTGAAGGTCGCTGGCGCGATAACGATGATGCGATAGTGCGATGACAATGAAATTATGGTACGATATAGCGCAATGACGATGTTGCGATGGCGCGACAATGCGATTACAATGATGCGATAGCACGATAAAGCGATAGTGGATATCACTTCATTGACATCGTAACATTGTACTATCGTCTTCGCACCATCGCACTATTGCACCATCGACATTGAATTGACGCTTCATCGCATCATCGTCATCGCGCTATTGCATTATCGCGTCATCGCACTATCGACCCAAACCTTCATAGTGCGATGATGCGAGAGATAACTATACGGCCCATTCCACATTCTATAACTATCCTTTAACTTGGTCTTATTATAATCTTATTATTATTTTGATAAATATTTAACAATTGATGACTGAAAAATATATTATTTTATATATATTGAAAAGTAATGCAAAAAAATGTTTCAAATGTTTTTTTTTTCCATTTGTAATATTTGCTTTGGAGTCATAATTATTAAAGATAGTTCAAAATTCATTTTTGAGGCCAATTTCATGCTTTGCATTTATTAACTTGTTGCAATAATGGATAGAGATGACTGCGCCATGTAGTGTCGTCAGATGGTTATTACTTTATGATGGTCAAAACATATCTAAAGTCATTTTTTGCCTTAAGGAAATGAATGTGAAGATAAACGTGATGACTTTGACTTTTCTATCGTCAACTTCCCTTACTTATAAAGCAATATACCTTCATCACCTGCATACGTAGTTTATATTTCTCAGTTTATTTGATATGCAAAAGCATGCTCTACATAATTATGTACAATTTCTAAAACGAGGTATATGATGACAAACAAGTCGAAGAAACAATAATATCAGCAGTCTCGTTTAAAGTCACCATTTGGTAATTTCTAAGGTTGATACAAGGACCTTGTCAGCAAATACAATTTATCGTTGAGTTAAATGCTGCCGTTTTTATACTATAATTGTTAGTACATTATTTACACACTGAATTGACGAAAGATTTTTCCGTTATTTCCCTATCATGACCAGGAGCACGCGGGGATGCTCACTCCTCCATGGCATCTGATCCCACCTGTGATGTTTTTGAGGTCCGTGTTTACTCTGCTTCTATTTTGTATTGTTTTATATAATTTAGAATTTAAATAATGATCGTTATCTCCATATATTTACATTTGCAAATGTTTTCCTTTATATAACACTACTAAAAGCAATGCGTATCTATAACTGTATAAATACAGATACGGGGTCAAGAGGTCATAGATGTGCGTATGGATGAACGTTTGACGTAATTTCTCAGTGACGTCATAAAGGGTCGACGCGCGTTGAGTTAATTGCATACATGCCGTTGGATTTGAAAAATAATGCATTTCACACGTTAAAAGTCACAATCAGACAAATATAAAGTTTTAATAAGTCACAAATGTAAATATAAGTAATAAGGTATCATTTTAAAACATCTATCGGGCTATAAATACGGGTTGGTACAAGATTAAATTCATCATAAAGCCCTTCGGGCTTTATGGAATTTAATCTCGTGACCAACCCGTATTTATATCCCAATAGATGTTTAAAAATGATACCTTATTTCTTAAATATTTCACATCAATGCAAAAACTGTTGAAATTTTCACGTGCAGTATACAACAACTTTAATATTCTTTCAAATAGCTTCCTATAATTTTGCGGGAAATTCTACACTATCATTCAGCCAACAAAATGCCATGTTTTGACCCAAGTGACGTAATTTTTGTGACAAACAAATGGGACGTTATCTTCTCTTCCTGTGAGGAGGACAGCGATGAAGACGATATCACACTTACTTGGGAAAAAGTAAAGGCATCAATCAAGAAGCACTGGGGATCGGTGAAAGATGAACAAATTTTTCAAATCTCACTGAAAAAAGTGCGTATCATTTATTGCAATGCTTGTCATTATTAATGCTAAAGCCATGTAATGCGATTTTACATTTACATGTTTCCATCATATAATTTAGTTGTTTAAATGCTTAAAAGGATAGTACTGTTTAAATGAAGGAGTCATTGCAAATATGTTCCAAGTAAAATTGATTGTTGCTTACACTATAGTCCTGAGTGCAGGTAAAAGAAATAAGAACCGCAACTATTGTGACGTCAAATAACTCTGCTCTGGCATAGAACGACAGAAATCCCTCATTAAAACTGGAACTTTAAAGCATATATTCAGCCTTTGCTTAAAATAAAAAAAACTGAAACATTTTTTACAAACAAACCAAGAATTTCGGCGTCTGTTAGAAATAATTCTCACTACTCAGTACTGAATATCCAAAAATGTTAGTGTTTTATTGTGCATATATATAGATTTGTTGCTAAAATAACATTTTCTTTTAAATTGCTTTTTGAATCTTTGAGTGAACCTTTTCGTTGGCATGGATTTCGCACTTGATTGTAAGCTTTCATAAAGTGTTTAGCAATTTTTCAGGTAAAAATGCTGATGCACATCCTTTGATTCTGGTACCTTTACACGTTTTAAAATATTTTTGTTACTGAAATCTAGAAATCCCTATGCTGTTAAAAAGTATGCAAGGGTCAAACTAGGAGAGAAGTATCCAGCTTATACACAGTTCCCTTTCTAAGGAAAGAATTCTATAAAATCATAAGTCAGTTTTGAATAAATATCCCGAGGAACCAAAATGAATTTGATCTACTATATATATATATTGGATTCCAAAACGTCAAAAAGATACACTTCGCGTTCCAGTAAATGTTCAACCAAGCCTCTTTCTTTACTCCTTTCTAAGATATTGACAGTACTGACGGAAAAGCTTCAAGAGTACTGTGCAACAGTATATTCAAGAAGTGGTGTAAATCAGATGTGGATACCAAAAATTACAAACTACTTTTGGACAATTTGAAATTACAAGATTTTACCAAAACCAACAGCTTAAAAACTTACGACTTTTCAACTTTATATACAACCATTCCCCAGGATAAATTAAAATCAAGGCTTTTTGATATCATTGACAGCTGCCTTTACAACAAAAATGGAACTCGTAAATTTACTTACCCTGTCATTGGTCATTTGTAAAATTATTTTGTTAAAACAATTTCTGATTGCACACATAAGTACTCCCAGTTGACATCAAAAAGATGCTTGAGTTTCTGATTGACAATATCTATGTGGTTTTCGGGGACAAGGTCTTCCAACAATCTATTGGAATTCCCATCAGTTCTAATTGCGCTCTGTTATTTGCAGACCTATTTTTGTATTCATGTGAAGCAGAATTTATGCAAAATCGTATGCGTGAGAGGAAAACAAACACTTGCTGAGACCTTCAACTCGACATTTAGATATATCGACAACGCATTGTCAATTTACAGTGGTAATTTTCATTCCCAGGTCGATACAATATATCCTGGTGAGTTAAACGATACCATAGAGTCTAACACATCTGTTTCATACTTGGATATTTTACTTGAAAAAGACGTTAATGGTAATCGACCAACCAAGCTCTGTGATAAACGAGATGACTTTAACTTTTCTATCGTCATCTACCCTTACTTATGCAGCAATATACCTTCATCACCTGCATACGTACTTTATATCACTAAGTTGATTCGATACACAAGAGCAAATTATTGACAACAATTTGATGAAACAAGAATATCAGCAGTCTCGTTTAAAGGCATCATTTCCTACGTTCTATGGTCGATACAATGACCTTGTCAGCAAATACAATTTTGCATTTGACTGACGTTTTACAAACTAATTGTTAGTCCATTGTTTATGCACTGAATTGACGATGGTCCTCTGCACCTATTTTTGTATTGTTTTATGGACTTTGTTATTGAAAACTGTATCCTTGATTCCTTTTATTTAATGTGTTGGATAATTAATAATCAACAGTAAGAGTTTAAGAAATCAACTTTTATGATATGGTTATACTTCTTTGTTTGATGGGTATAAACTTCATCCTTTGACATGTTCACTAGAACCTAGAAATTTCACATAGTATTTTCTTATAGATGAAAGAAGCTGCAAATAACCAGTTCAAAACAGAATATGTAAGATTTGAAGAAAAGTTGAAGGAAATAATAGACAGAAATCATGTCAGTCGCAAACAGAAGCATTTAAGGTTTTTATATTTCCTAATTTTACAAATACAAATCAACCATGTTTTTGTAAATGTCTTTATTAATATGATATTTATCTAATTGTCGATTTTCTATGATTAATGATCTAACAATCTTTGCTTCATTTGCAGATTAGCTTGTTTTGTTTAACTAAGGGTATACTGAAAGAAAAAGAAACGCATAGTACACTTTTGAATCAAATTAAAACTATTATTCGAATACGTGCATGTTTTCAGTATTGTTATCAAACATTTTAATTTTTCTTTAATGAACAAGTCACCAAAATCTTGGGTTATTGATATATCGATACCCCCCCCCCCCACATTAAATAAAAACTCTCATCTCCTTTGCGCATCTGTAACGGTGTTGATTCTTTTGTGCATTGAGTTCATCAGAGCAGTTATCTTTCTCATAAGATTATTATACAACCCTTCCGGTAGTCTCAATGGTTCAGAGTAGCTGTAACATTCTAAAGCCAACAATCCCCCGCCCACTGAATCACACGGATTTTTCATTTAGGATAGAATTTACAAAATTCGGCTGGTTTGGTATACAGTTATTGTTTGAAAGAAAGTCTCGACAAACACTGGAAACATTTTCCCAAACTCGCGGACTAAATAAGAACAGAGAGTTTTTGTCAGTTTTAGAGTGAACATTTTTAGTATGCTTGTCTGCTTTTTAAATACCGGTTTCAGTGATAATGCCTTGAAGATAACTTATGTGGCGTTTTTTCGCGCCAACGTCAACGTCATGGTTGGTTGGAAACCTTTCAAGTTACCCCTTGACAACCGATAAAACTTTACTTGGTTGAAAAGTTAATAAAAAAACAATCTGCACAGCAACATGTTGTTGAATTTTTATTCACTTATGCAATTCAATTGCTAGACCCAATGTAACTTCCGTTAGTCATAACATGATTGCAAGAAATTCATACTGACTGCATATATACAAAAACGATATCTATAATTCTAACGCATAGTTTGGCACTACAGAATGTAATCACAAAACTGCCATCATCAATATGCCTGATCTTTTGGCCTTTTGTCACTTTCCCTACGTGACGCCATACATTTCATAGTTGAAAAGTTTTGACCGGTGATTTTAGTGCAAAGTAACCAAATACCAATTTTCATTATTTTCAGACGCATAGTCATTTTTTTTTTCGAATATTATGTTCTCATGCGTTTCTTTTTCCTTTCAGTATATATTGTTTATCAATGAGTCGACAAAATTTCAGCCATATTTCGGCGAATTTTGCCAAGGAAAAAATTGTAAGGATTTTAAAAAAATATTTTGCTTTGAATAGGTTTTTGGATAACATTCTTCGAGTTTTGCAGAGAGTAACGTGTGGGAGAATTTTATCCTCGAAGCTGTCCGAAGTCGATCATCAAAAGTTGGCAGAGAAAAATAATCAAACAATGGAAGATCTTGTGAGGAAAAAAGAACAGGTGAAAAAATTTACTATAATCAATAAATATACAAAAATACATTCAAAATATAAACCTTTAAAGTATTATTTAAGGAAGAAAATTATGACGAGCCTCTTTAATAAATCTTTAATTTAATACCAGTAGGTTCTTATTTTTTGCTCGATAGAAGGTTAATATAGTTGATCCAAATGACTTTAATCATATACGAATAGGTAGCATATGAAGTTGTAAACATAAATGTATCCCTGTTCTTAGACCGTAAAATTCTTTCAATCATAATATTTATTGCTCGTTAAAGTACAAAAACTGCAATTATTTTTATTTAAGGGGATGAAGGATGTATGGTCACGTGACTCAGTTGATTTACGTCATAATCTCTGATAAAATATGTACAAAACGAGACTGAAACCACAGTACTTGTATAATTTTTTTGACTGTTTGTTTGCGTTCACCATCTAGTATAAAAATATCTGAAAACATTCAAAATTTCTTGCAAATATTATCAAATTACGGAATAGATTAATCCACTCTGCCGTTTCCCTGCTCTGCGCGTCCAGTGCGTCTTTGACGTCATAGTGGATCTCTTAGTTCAGTAAGATCATACACGGTAAAAACGGGTAGTATAAAATCATAATAACGGGCCATAATATGTACATGGTAGGGTATTTTGTAAATTTCAGAACGCAAAAAATATTTTTACATGGTTGTTGACGGAAAAGTTCTGTGGGTTTGCCTTATTTCGCTTATTTCAGGAATATGTGACGTCATAGTTGGGTTTTCCCGTACTCGAGAAATGTAAACATGACACGTTTTTCTCATGATCATGACTCGTTTAACTTTGCCCCGTGCAATATTGAGCTCAGCTTCACCAATCGATATTTTTTTTTACAGTTAATCAATACAATGACGACCTTGAACTTCGACATAAATTTTCAAATATTGAATGATAGGATTTTTTGCAAATTAATTTTTTTATGGTTTAAGTTGTCCTAAAAAAGTCGTAAATTTCCGTCTCCAGATGTGGTGTTACAAAAGAATCTTGCTTTTTCGAATTCTTAACCCTATTCATACTCTAAAATATTTTAAAAGACACATTTCCGCTGGTATATTTTTTATCTATGCTGAAAAATTTCAATTATCGACCGAGTGTAATGGACCCAGAAACACGGAGAATAAAAACTCCGCTCAGACACTGTGGGGTATTGTATTTGTCACTCAATATCTCAGAAATAAGTCTAGAAGATATATACAAAATATGAAAAAAATGAAATGACAGGTATTTTTTCAGCTAAAGGTCCTTCATCCCCTTAATATAGTTTAAATGTGCCAGGTATTGAATAGAAAGTTTGTCAAATTATTTGAGATTGGAGACATAAATAAACAGAAGTATATGTCAGATTAAAAAAATGATACATTATTTGTAAATAGCAGTATAAAAATATATAAAAAAAACTAATCAAAATGCATAATTTTGATGCTGGAAGTTCGTAATACTTGCCACCTATCTGATACCTTTGAATTGTGAATATTAGGAAAATTATTTTTCGTTCAATAAAGAAAATACCTGAATTTAGATACCTGAGAATGAGTTATTGCCCTTGTCAACATTTTTGAAGATTGGATAATAAGTTTGATAAAGAAATTATACATTTTTAAAATTCTATTACTCAACAATATTTATCATTCCATCATTCCACTAATTGGAGAGTATCCTTTCGAAAGATATTGTTCAGTTGAGTATGAATATAAATTAATAAGAGTGTTTGCAAAAACCTATGACATCATACGAGGATGGAAATATGTTAAAATACCAATGCTAAAATTCCAATGCACTGTTATTTGTTGAATAACCATGTTATCGTAGAAATGATTTCGTTTTTCTTGCAAAAATTATGAAAAATAATCCAATAAAGAGATTTTGTTTACTCTATAACTTTGCTCACTGGGAGAGAAAATACCAAATATACTAGAGGTATGGGTAGTAGGGAGTTGTAAGGACCAGAATACACTTAGCTAGCGAAGATCCAAATATCCTTTCAGATCAACAAAGATCTCCGATCCCAGTTAGATTCCTATATTTGCTCCCTGAGCGATGAACTGATGTATTATGTTTGCTCAGTTGAGGGAAAAACCCAAATTTTAACCCCACCAGGAAAAAAGGACATAAAAGAAGTACATGTTTTTGCATTAGAGAGAAAAGTGAAGGAAAGATACATATGCTTTCTCGAAAATTGGCGCCAAAGTCCAGAAGTTATTTGTGTCTTTCAAGACCTCGAGCAGCAAATTAAAGACTCTTTTAGTACATTAAAAGGAAAAATTGAGGAGCTTGAAAAAGAATTGATGGGCTCCCAATATTCTCCACCAAACAAAGACATTACCACAAGTCCCGGTTGGTTTCCAGTTCTCGATATTGCTGGGACGCTTTCCACAATTGCTGGAGTTGTGCTATCTTCACTTTTTTCTTCAGACTTTCAAGATGAAAGGAAATCAACAGTTATTGACAAAATGTACGAGAAATGTGTCAGGATTTATGATAAGGAGACCGTAAAAAATGATTTGGAGAATATATATGGAAACCATTACAGGAATGTAATTGAGTGGATGCTCGATGGGTCAATTGGAGATGATATTAGAAGTTTAAAGAAAACAGTTTTGCAAGTGTACGAAAAGCGAAACGAGTACAAAGCTAAGCATGAAAAATACCAAATTTTTAAAGAAGCCCTGAAGGATTTAAAGCTACAGATAAAAGAAACAAATGGTAAATTAATGATTTATTCTTGTTTGCAAAATAAATAATTTAATTCATATTTGTTATGGGAAAAAAATTCATTTTTTACTCTTATTTATCTAGTCCAATTTATACCTATTCTTACAATTTAAGCTCCCTCTCTCATGTATTTTTGGTCAATTAATGCAAGCAAGTGTATATTCTCTACATTTGGTAAGCAGCAAAGACAAAATCATGGAATAATATTGCACCACAGCGTCAAATCATTTTAACACTCAGTTTGGTTCCGTATTGTCTGTAGTCTTTTAAAATATAGAAAGATGAATGAGAGCGACTGAAAAAATTGAAAAATAGTAGAAAGATAAAAACGTCTGAATTAATCTCGTAAATTTGATAATACTAAGCAATTTTAATTTAATTGATTATAATCTAGAGTCCGACATCTCTAACTGTATAAAATTCCACAAAATCAAGTATTTGAAATCGTTCGGATGAGATATACTCGAGTAGATGTTACATGAAGTAAACATCGTAAATCGACTGATTCTTCACTTTATTTCTTTCAGATGATATTGCCAAAGTTCTTGAAACTACTCGCCTTTGAAGAGTCCATGGCTGATTTTGATTGACAAAATAATTCAGTTACTTGCATATGCACCAAAACATTTGATAAATGTAGATTTTTGTAAAATCCAAATAAAAATCAAAATAATGTCTTTCTTGGGGAGAAGTTTCCTGTTCTAAATTGTTACTTATGTAGTTTGGCTAACTGTCTCTGTTTGATGCGTTTGACTCGCAATTTATTAACATGATTAGCTTTTCAACATTTTTTTTTAATAAATGAAGGATATGGAGATAACGAACAGTATTCAATATCAAAATCCATAAAACAATACAAAATAGGAGCAGAACAAACACGGACCTCCATAACATCAGAGGTGGGACCGGGTGCCATGGAGGAGTGAGCATCCCCTGCCGACTGGTCACACCCGCCGTGTGCTCCTTGTCGTAATCAGGAAATAACGGAAAAAGAAAAATAAAATTTGATCAAACTCATCACATCATATTGATCATACAGTAAATTATATCCCGTTTCAATTCAACTTTCAGAAAATTCCAATAGCAACGAAAGTTCATAGTTTTTTTTCTTTCTTTCGGAAAATCCGTCGACACCTTAGTATGTAAGTAATGGCCGAATGAATTCTATGAAAAACGTTAGTCAAGATTTGATTTAATGATAGATTATATTTGCTGAAAAGATAACTGCATCGACTATGCAAATTACGTAATGATATTCTTGTTTCATCATCTTGTTTGTCAATAACTCAACTCGTTATAGAAATTGTTCATACGTATAGCATATCAAAATAACTGAGAGACATGCACTTCGTATGCAGGCGATAAAAATTAATGCTTCATACAAAGGTACGGAATCATGTACCAAAAATATTTTTTTTGTAGTGCGGACAGTTTCTTTCGAAAATGAAATAAAGACACTGTGGCACCGCACTTAAAAACTACGCACTTTAGATTTTATTCATAGTGCGTTAAATATGATGAAAAAGTCCGAAAGTGCATTAAGAGTGTACATTAACTTTTTACTTTGAAGACACAACACACTTTGAAAAAAAAATGTATAAAACAAAAATCCCGGACTTACATCTTTTGAAAAATTTATGAATTGATCTACGCTCATCGAGAAAAGTCAGAGCTTTTAGTCGAACGATAGTCAAGTACTCGTTGAAATATTATTAAATTTTTCATATCATTTGTAAATAAACACTTATTGTCTTTTACAGACTGCTAGTTTAAATTATTCAATTCACGCTACCATCATTATCAAGACGAGTTTCTAAATCGTAAATATTCACGTAGTAATAAAATATCGGTAGATAATTTAAATACAGATATACAGGATATCAAACGCTCAAAATAATTCTTGAAAACCCTTTCCATTTACGGGACTAAGAGGTTAACAATTTTAAATCATGTTTGTGATAGTAATCGTTTTTACACTGTGTACTTTTACGGAGAATGTACCAGGAAAGTTTCGCAAAAAATCTCCTTTGATTATTGACATTAATTAAGAACGGTTATGCAATGCTTTGGGTTTTATCAAGAGAATAAATGAATTAGACTAAGCCAATTTAATTGAAATGTTTTAAAAATAGCATTTTTTTTTTAGGAATAACCGAGTAAAAATGTCGATAGTCGGCATGATCGAACGATAGTAGAGTACTCGAATATTTTTTTGAAATCTGTAATAAAACCCAATGGAAGACTTGACGGTAAGAAGTTGACAAGTGAAATGTAAAAGCCAAGGCTTTAGCCGTTCGAAAATTATAGCCAAGGTTGAACCTTTTCAAAAATAGAGCAAACTTATAAGTAAGTAAAGACAAAGAATCTGAATTGTTGATACCCAAGGGAAGGTCTTGTCACAGGACATTCACGTACAGTATGAAAGTCCTAGAACAAATCTTTCGAACGTAAGAAACAAGTTTAAGTGTGGTAAAATTTTGCAATAAATTTTTAAATTTTTGAAATTTTAAAGTCACAATGCCAAGATGTCAAATATTTTGATACACAAAAAAAGAACTTGTCACAAGAAACACGCAGATAAAATATGACAGTCTTAGCTCCAACCAATTAAAAGTTAAAGCATGATGACACCTTGGTCTAGTGTTAGGTTAAAGCAAAAATGAATAATATTATTATAACTTAATTTTTTAAGCTGAAAAGTTCATTTAAAAAACACAAACCAGGAGCAGTGCAAACACGGGCATATTAAACATCAGAGATGGGATAGGTTGCCATGAAGAAGTGAGCATCCCTTGCCCACCAGTATTATCCTACGTGTGCTCCATATCGTGAGAGGAAACACGTATACAATTCAATGTTTCAATAATGACCCAACAACGAATACAAAAAATGTCAGTTAGCATTTGATTTATTTTAAAACTTTACTTGCAGACCAAGGCAACATAGCAGCTCTGTTTCCAAAATTCATAACAGAAGACATTTTAAGTGTAAAAATCTTGTCATTTATTTAAATGACTAAAAATGAAATCCATTTATAAAACAATCACCAAAGAATTTGGATTGGAGACATACCAGAATCATGGAAAGCTTGACCAGAAATCGATTTCCATAAATGATTACAAAAGAGTGGTCTCCCATTCACAATATTGTTACAACACACAGATGTGATAATGCTGTAAAATACAACATCAAACTTTACTACAACATCAAACTTTACTGGAAACAAAAGTAGTGCATAAGAAGCGCCTCCGGTAAAACTAATAAAAAATAGTTTGGTTAATTAAAAAAAAATGTGGGGGGATGGAGTGGAGGTGGTGGTTGCTTTTTGTCCACAAAAATTTCACGGCAGCACTCCGAGTAAACAAAGAACTATATAAATAGGGTGTCATGCGCGGCAATCTGATTGGCTGAGACAGCTAAGGCCTTAAAAAAAGTTATGGACGCGGTGAAACTGGATCACAGGAGGAACCGGCTTTACAAATAAAAGGTTTTGTAAAATAACAAAAGATAAACATATTGACAACCACAAAAATACATACACGAATTTTTTAACATAAATTGCTTTATTTGAAAATAAACCTTATTTTATCGGTGGTATTTGCTTACAAGGGCAATGTATAGACCATAGAACTTGCGAAATGAGGACTTTAAACGAGACTGTTAATATTCTGGCTTCATCAACTCATACAAATGTATACTGGGGTGTATGTGTGTAATCTTTCATATGAATAAAGTAAAATTTCCCGCAGAACCAATGATTTTTAGGGTCATTCGCCTATTAGTGATGTTTCTCTTTATTATCTACTCAAAGGTGACATTATGTCAAATAGTACTAGGATAAAGTGATAATTAGGCGCCTTAACAAAACAATTTGAGAATGAATTAGAATTGATAAATAATTTCAGATTCATCCGAGTCAGGCAAGTAGCATCAAAGAGAGGGTGTGTCTTTTTCCAGACATATTTTATTTACTATTGAGAACTTTTCATTACTGAAAATACTATTGAAAGTCTGGTTGCCCCCCTCCCCCCCAGCCCCAAAGACCCACTTTTGTTGCGGTATAGCCAATAAAGGGAAATGTAGAAGTCTATAGGTGAAATTTGGTACTGAGAAGTACATGTAGTTGGAACATAACACCCCCAATAGAATTTTCAATTTTTTACGCTAAATTATTTGCTTGCTTGTCAAGTTTTATCGGGTAGGTTGATTTTTTTTCACCGACTAACCCCCCCCCCTACTTTCATAAACGACGCTATGTCCCTGCAAGTTTCAGGTTGGATATGTTTTACGAAAAATACCGTTTCTTAGATATTTTGAATGATCTCTAGGTGACTGGGTAAAATAAACTCGACAAAGGCTTAAAGAGCAAATAAAACTTTCGACTTTGTACTACGCTAACGGCTAAAAAAGTGATATAAATAGTTTATAAGAATGAGGAAAATTAAGCCGTATCAGGAAGTTAAATGAGATTAAATCGTGATAAAAGGGAGGACACTTCATTCAGAGAAACCATTTTCTGGTACAGTATAATTATCTTTTAAGCTTTGGTAACGCATGGTCTGAATGTACTATAATCTTAATTTAGGAGTCTCAGGAGGTAACTCTGATAAGGAACGTTGCTTATGTCATTAACATATGATTAGACCGACTTAAAATTTGTCATACTTGTTTACCATGTGTTTTCAATATAGTGCTGGGAAAAACCTCACTTTAATCCACAAATTTTGGTTATTAACCTTTTACAAATGTATTTGTAATGAAGATTTTTTTCAGAAAACTTCATTCTTCATTTCTTGAGAAATGAATGCGTTAGATAACAATGCTCAAAGGTTCTTCCTATGAGCCGTATAAACCGAGGTTTTGTGCCACAGTAGATGTTCCCTCATTGCTCAATGGCAAAAGTGACGATTGTAGGTCAAGACACGTAGCATCAGGGGGTGGAAGGGGGCCTCTCGGACTTTTTTCCAGACATTTTTTTTTATAGGAAATGTTTATTGAAAGCCCGGTTGCCCCCTACAGTTTGGTTGCAGTATTGTCAAATAAGGTTTTATATAAGGGTAATGCAGAGTTTGAGTAAAATATTCAATACTAAAAGAAATTGGGCCACCTCCCCCTTCCAAGGAACAGGATTTTGGGGTTTGGACATTTTTTCAGGTATTTTTCCTCGAGTTCCCCCTTTCAAAAAAGATGCAACGTCACTGAGGTCTGAATCTGTGGTACTTCACAGCCGAGTGGTAATGTCTCCATCTGAGTGAAAAAGTCTTGAGGGGACGTTAAGGATTAAAAAAAAAGTACAAATTAACAAAAACAATGTCCACACACCGTAGAGTAAATAAAAATGTTCATAAAATATAGTATACTAATAATAAGGCAAATATTCAGTTTAAGTTATTATGGACTTTAATATAAGTTAATACTGTTTGGTATCTATAAACATTTACATCCACTGAATATTTCCCCCTTTCTTATAAAGACCATTGCCATTAATCAGTTCACGAACAACAATGAGCAAGCCTTGTGTGTAGTTGTCTTGGCTGTTCCATCAGTTTCACAAACAATGCATATTCATCTTAAAAACAATAGTTTACAAATTAAATTTCACTCTGAATTATTTTTAATACAGATGTAAATATAAACAATAAAATGCTTTCTTTGTTAGTATGGGAATTAACGTCGCAGCTATTGCAGAAAAAATAACATATTGTTTTCTGCAACAGCTGCGACATTAATTCCTGTACTAACGACCAAAAGAAAGCATTTTATTACTGTAGACGTACTTTTTTTCACGGGGTCATAATTCCGCGGAATCTCAATTTCTGTTGAATCCGCGTGTAGAAAATTACGCGGATTTCTTAGACAGTCACTGTATGCCTTACATTTATATTGAGTACGCTTGGACAAATTTCCGCTGAAAATTTGTGACCGCGTACATAGCGTAAATTAATACCACGCGGAAAAAAGTACTTCTACAGTATTTAAATAAATCGTGTTTAACATTGACGATTGGGCCAAGAAGATTATAGAAGTTGAACAATTTTATGTTAAATATATAAATTAGAGGAGATCCTCTCAATGCACATGCAAAGGAAATTAAACTCAATATATTTTGAAAGGAAATTAAATGCAATACTTAATATTGTACTTATTATAATTATTCTATTTCAGGACATGGTACAAAATTATAGCATCCGGATATTATATGCAGTGATGTTCTCAACAACACTCGTTGTAAAAAGTACTTCAAATAACGTATGCCCCACATCGCCATGTTTTTGTGCCAACGCCACAGTGGCAGACTGTTCTAATAGGAAGCTTGAAACTCTACACTCCCTTCATGGCACAATCCCTGCAAGTGTTACAAACTTGGATTTGGCTGGAAACAATTTCTCTTACATCAACGATACATTTTTTGACCCCATTGCTTCATTAAAAATTGCAAATTTAAGCATCAAAGAATGTAAATTACATGGAATATCTAAAAGAGCATTGCAGAACTTAAAAGAAATTTATAAATTGGATCTTTCAATGAATGAATTGGAATACAAATCAATACTACAAATTTTAAGATGGTTGAATGGTTCTCAAATTAATAAACTGGATATATCTGATGTGAAAGGGGCTCCAACATCTCTACCAGAAAATGTTTTTAAAAGCATATACAGAAATAGTTCTCTTCATACAGTGCATCTTCGAAATTGGGAATTGGTCAATGTAAGTGGAACGGCATTTAAAAATATGTCTAAATTAAAAACACTTGACTTGAGTAATAATAACATTCTTGAACTTAAAATGGAGGGATTTCAGCACATAAAACAATTAAATCTAACGTTGAATGAACTTGCCTATGTCCCAAAAATGTGTGATTCAAAGAATAAATCGTATGTTCCTAGGTTGAAATTTCTATGGTTAGCAATCAACCATATCTCAGACTCGCTTGAATTCCATCGACAGGGCCATTGTTTTACTGAATTAGAATATCTTAATTTATCTTTCAATGCAATAAGCATTTTTAAAAATAATTCATTTTCTTCAATTAGGAGTTTGAAGAAGTTACGTTTGAACGATATGCTAACGTACGATTTGATTATCGAAAAAGACGCATTTAAGTCGAAATCATTGGAGGCTTTATTCTTTGGAAGCAATAAAAGAGTAACAAAAGAAATGCTACAATATCAAACTATATTCCAGAAGTGTACAAATGTAAGAACATTAGACATGTCGCTTTTTGATTTATCTGCTTTTACAGACGAAGACTTTTTAAAAATGTTATCTCCTCTTACACATCTCAAACAACTAATTTTACGTCATTCTGTATTGAATTTCGTTCCATTTATATCACATTTGAAAACACTTCAGATTTTGAATTTACACGGTAATTTTATTCGCCATGTTCATAAAGATAGTTTTATAAACAATACAAACTTACATAAAATTATTCTCAGAAAAAACCAATTAACATCTATCCATGAAGATTCATTCACAGAAGATATATGGAATAATTCAAATTTTACAATCGATGTTTCCTTTAATCCTTTTGCTTGTGACTGTGACCTTGAATGGTTCGTTAAGTGGGCAGATGCACACAGAGAAAAAGTCATTAATTATCATTCCAATCAGTGTGATTCACCAAAAGAGTGGAAGGGTCGTCACATAAATAGCAATTTACATTACCTCAAAATGAGATGTCATCCATTGAATCGAATTTTCATCATCATCCTGACTATTGGTTCCTTTGTATTTATTTTTCTATTTACCTTTGTACTTCTTTGAAAGTTAAGGTGGGATATTTTGTTTTATGTGCATAACTGCCTGGATGGAAGACGGAGAGGATACCATAGATTGACTGACCATGATTTAAAAGAATACGACGGGTTTGTCGCTTACAATACACGTGACCGGAAGTGGATAATGTCTGAACTAGTTGACGTTCTAGAGAAAAAAGAAAGTTACAAGCTTTGTCTGCATGAGCGAAATTTTTTGCCTGTTGGATTTCATGTGGATAACATCTTTGAAAATATGGAGGCCAGTCGAAAACTTTTGCTAGTTCTAACAAACAATTTCATGCAAGATCAATGGTGCCAATTTGAAACTATAATAGCCAATCAGAAATTAGCAGACGGTAACAAAAACAACATTCTCCTGATTCTGTTGGATAATATTGATTCCAAACATTTTACAGCAGCACTGGAAACGTTGCTCAAAGAAGCTGAAAGTGTGGAATGGACATCTAATTTAAACGGAAGGAAATTGTTTTGGAAAAAGATTAAGAATTTTATGTGCAAATAGATTTCCAAATTCTTTAGTCTCGTTCATATTGTTAAAAGCTACACTGAATTACTAATGATTGAGAATATTAAAGTATAATACTTTTACAGTTTCATTATTTAAGATTTTTGTCTTTTTTAACAAGCATTTTCATGATATTTGAAAGTGAAAATTGTGTACCTAAGAATGACGTAATTTATTGTTAGGAGGATGATAACAATGGAGAAAACATAGTACTCATTAAAAACCAATCCTTTATTAATGTTTCAGTATAAATATTTTAGATAGTAAAAAAAAAGATACGGTTCCCAATGATACCCTAATTGCCTGTTGTATATATAAAGCATTGAAAGGTTTTATGTTAAACTTTATTTAAAAAAACAAAAAAACGAACTAGTATACATAGAGAAATATAAAAGTTAGAATAACCGACAAAAATAACTTTCATTAGTAATTGCTCAAGTTATAATTGCATTAGTTAACTGTCCTGTATCGGTACATATAAATATAGAAGCCTTTATTTAGAGCTTTGTTTCCTATGTTTTGTTACTTCTTCTCACAATGATGACAATCAAGACACATAGCAGTTCTAGTCCACCAACTAAACCTCCAATAAGCAGTGGTAATGCGATTGTTTCCTTCTGCAAAGTAAAAATGTAGTAAATCGCATAGTTTGGATTTAGTTTTATGTATTAAGTTAAAATCGATTTGCCATAACGATCGATAACGAAATGTAAATCAGCCATTCTATTGCAGTTTTAGTTTTCATATTGCCAATTAAATAAGATTTTCTCTAAATACTAGATCTTTAATATGCATGAATAACCCGAAATGTTTGGGCCTTTTCCATGAATATTGCCCAGTAGTAAAGGTTGTAATCTTACTTTAGACTTTCACAGTTATAATCGGAGTCATACTAGTATTCAAAAAAATTCTTTTCATGGAATAAAGGTGTTAAAGCAGGGCTGTGTATTGAGCCAAAAAGTTCCATACGATGCAATGTTTTATGATTATGCGATATCCGATATACTGGATTCTTCTACAAGTCTTTCAAAGTCTTGTAATTTATTTAATGTATGAATTTAATATAAACTAATAAATTGTTTTAAAACCCATTTCGAAGTTCTTGTCTCCTTCTCTTAACAAATTACAATTCAAATTCAAAATTTTAATGACTATGAAAACAACATGAAAATCCAATGTAGTTGGATTTTTGGTGGCCGATTGTTTGTTGCCACCTTATTTTTCAGCTTAAATGTTTGATATATTTGTGTTTTTTGAGTATTGTCATGATGTTATTTTAAAGTTTTGGGAGATCCATAACAAGGTGTAGATACAAATTGTAGAAAGTCATAAGATCTCCCAAATTTCATGTGTTTCATTTGTGTCATTAATAAATGACATATTTACAACAATACTCATTCTTGGTTTTCATTCAATCTGAAAAATAACAGAGCTGCGGGAAACTTGGTTTTAAATTTGCACCATTATCATATGGAAGGCATAATGTAATATTATTGACAATAATATGTTTTATGCATACATATGTAATTTACCATTTTCTGTGGTTAGAATGTAGTGATTTTAGTATATTTCATGTATATATCAGGTTTCAGAGCTAGGACGTTATGTAATGCATAGTCTCAGGTTTTGGGGCTTTGCGTTGATTAGTTGTGAGCTAACGTCGGATATATCACGTGATTGTTATCGCCGGTGGATGCTGCAAGTGTTTGTACACACCATTTTTTGTAGAAAAACATACCCTCCACCTCCCCGTACAACCGTCCCTAAGGTTAAACTTTACTTTGGGATGTATTTTGATAATTTCTTTTGTTTGGTGGCCTATTGTTTGTTGCCACCTTATTTTTCAGCTTAAATGTTTGATATATTTGTGTTTTTTGAGTATTGTCATGATGTTATTTTAAAGTTTTGGGAGATCCATAACAAGGTGTAGATACAAATTGTAGAAAGTCATAAGATCTCTCAAATTTCATGTGTTTCATTTGTGTCATTAATAAATGACATATTTACAACAATACTCATTCTTGGTTTTCATTCAATCTGAAAAATAACAGAGCTGCGGGAAACTTGGTTTTAAATTTGCACCATTATCATATGGAAGGCATAAAGTTGTCTATGTATTTTGTAATATCTATCTGGTGTGTTCCTTAAACGTCTACTGGACAAAACAAACATCTAATTATCACACTCAACTAAGGGACCCTCTAAAGGGTTCAACTTTATGAATTATCTATAATTTATTTATTAAAAGAGGAATTATATAGCAAAATTTTATTATTTTTGAAGATTTTATCCACTGGGTTATACATGTAATTTTATTTTTTTTTTTATAAATAATTGTTAGCAACAATAAAACATCAGTTTTCTTGAGATGTTTTATTAGATGTTAATAGTGTATCTTTATAAACGGCAAGCTTAAAATTTAAAAAAAAAAATAAGGCCCCTAAAATTTCAACATTATTCTCATACTTACGCCATATTTTTCACAATAATGTCTTAAAGATCGGTTAGATAAAGTTTTGCTGAATACATGTAAGGACGTAGCATTCTTTTTTTTAAACAGGAATATCTTAAACAGGAAAAATCTATCAATCATAAGTCACTTTTCTTTCCAATATATCTTATTAAATATAAATAGATTTTGCTTTAGATTATTTTTTTTAAATCACGTTTATATCGCAATTTCAAAGCTGCATTAATTTTTAATTGATAATTATAATTATAAAAATATATAATTTCGAAATCTTTATTAATTTGCATCATAAAACTGGAATTTAACATTCAAGAATTTATTTCAGTAAAAATGTGTCAAGAAGCGTAAAAAAAGGATTTTTTAAAACTTTATTTAGATTTTAACAATTCCCATCCCACACCCAATTAAACTGGATTTTTGAAAATATGTTCAAAGATAAGTTTTTATCTTAAAAATGTTATTTACAAGTCTTGTGTAGTAATGTTTCTTTTTAGAATTTTAAGTCTTTTTAAATAAAAAAAAATATTTATTATACTAGTATATGAATAAATATTTTTTCAGTGCTTTCAATTACACAAAATATTAAGTATTGAATCTTAAGTTTATTTATGGTACATGTATTATTGAACTCCATATTTATAAAAATATTCTAGGTTGTAGGAATAAACTAAACTTGAACTTGAGTACTAATTTTTTCAGTAAGTATTAAAGTATATAATCATGTCAAGGTTATACACCTGTATTTTATCTTTGAAGAGGACAATAAAAAATCAAATTGCGTCTTTCTGATTAAAAAAAAAAGATATTAAGTGTATTTTTAAGACCTGTGATAGATAGGAGAAAATCCATGCATTCAGAAAAATGTGTCCAAAAGACACGTATATCTCTTATCACAATTGTCATCAGTGCAACAATTACACTACGATGCATGAATTTCATTTTTAAGCACATTTAGTGACGCTAAGATGAGCGTAATGATTTTCTTTCGGATGTAAATGTACAAGAAAAACAAATGAAATCATTAATATGAAAGTTATAAAGTTATATATTACCACTTCTTGGTCAGCTATCTTGCTTGGAATTGATTGCACTGCGTATCCTCCAGAAAAATCCACTGATTTTACAACAGAATAAAAATCGCTGTCAAACACTTGAATTTCTGTGGATGGAATACAGCAATCACCTCTATATAACAAAAATATTTAAATAAAAAAAATCATCGCAAATTTTGGTTACAAAAATAAACTTTTTTCAAGAACTACTGAAATAATTTTTAAATATTCGATATTTTGTCCAAATACTTTATTGTACCAGGTGAAGCAACGTATGGCATTTCTTTCATACAAAACTAACTAGTTCACTTTTTTTCATTTTCTCTCAGAAAGGTTTATGTCATATGAAATGGATTTTACATACTTAACAGCCATCACGATTGTTGAATCATTGGAAACGTAGGATAAACTTGCAGCAGACGACAACGTAATGTTTGTGACGTTAACGCCAGAAAGCCGCAGAATGGATTCTGCTTTCCACAAGTAAATAGAACAATTGCCCGTAATCAAAGAAGAAAGGGGGCGGTTATATTTTAACATCTCTTTCTGAATATATACTTACCATGACAGTTTGTTCACTTCTTTGTAACACTCTCAAATCTCCATTTGTCGTCACATCAATGGAGTATTTCCTTTTAATAAAATTTCAAAAAAGTTACTTAATTTTCTATTTTTGTTTATGAAAAAAGAAAAAGAAAATAATTTTGTGGAGCTATTTAAACTTACAGTAAGGGAGAAGACATCTGACCCTTCAAAAGAAAAAGTGACGTAAAATTATCGAAAGGAGAAAGATTCACTTGAACGGATAGTCTTCCATCCGGCAAATTTCCATCCGTACCATTAATTGTAGTAGTAAGTTGAATTAGTGAATTGCCCTTGTTTGTTATGGTGTATGTCACATGAATTGGTTCATCGTAACTCTTTTTCTCTGTTGTAACGGAAATTATTTTGAATTAAATCATTTAAGAAATGCAAAAAGAAATATGTTTCCCATTTGAAAAAACACATTTTTTAAAAATTCTAACCAGCCAAGTGAACAACGGGGAGTTCAACCATCACAGATTTTCAATTTATGTTTCGTGAACTTCTGAATTCGGAACTGCGGCTGTCTCTTCCTTCCATCACTATCAATGAAACCTTAAAACAAAGACATATGGCAAGCCCTTTTTACGAAAGACGAATAGGGCCACATAAAAAAAAAATTTTATCTCGTAATTACGAGAAAAGATCTCGTTATAACGAGAAAAGATCTCGTTATAACGAGTTAATTATCTCGTTATTACGAGTTAATTATCTCGTTATTACGAGAAAAGATCTCGTAATAACGAGAAAAGATCTCGTTATTACGAGTTAATTATCTCGTAATTACGAGAAAAGATGTCGTTATTACGAGTTAAAGATCTCGTTATTAAGAGAAAAGATCACGTAATAACGAGAAAAGATCTCGTTATTACGAGTTAATTATCTCGTAATTACGAGAAAAGATCTCGTTATTACGAGTTGATTATCTCGTTATAACGAGAAAAGATCTCGTTATTACGAGTTAATTATCTCGTAATTACGAGAAAAGATCTCTTAATGTAAAATGTAATGTAAAATAACGAGATAATTATCTCGTAATTACGAGATCTTTTCTCGTTATAACGAGAAAATTAACTCGTAATAACGAGATCTTTTCTCGTTATTACGAGATTTTTTCTCGTAATAACGAGATAATTAACTCGTTATAACGAGAAAAGATTCTCGATACTTAACTTGAATTTTCTTAGAGATAATTAACTCGTAATAACGAGATCTTTTCTCGTTATTACGAGATCCTTTCTCGTAATTACGAGATAAAAATATTTTTTATGTGGCCCTATTCGTCTTAAACTCGTAATAACGAGATCTTTTTTCGTAGTTACGAGATCTTTTCTCGTAACAACGAGATCTTTTCTCATTATTACGAGATTTTTTTCTCGTAATAACGAGATAATTATCTCGTAATTACGAGAAAATATCTCGTAATTACGAGATAAAAATATTTTTTATGTGGCCCTATTCGTCTTTCCTTTTACTATTTATTCGCGAAATATAAATTTTCTTTCAATAAGAGAATTACCCGGTATCTCTTTAGCATAGAGAAAAATCTCTTTAGCTTATAGAGATATCTCCTTACCTAATAGAGATATCTTTTTACCTTACAAAGATATCTTTATCAACAAAATTCATATTTCTTTTTGTAAGAGAAATGTATGTTTTATTTAAAGACATCTTTATAAGCTAGAGATAACTTTAAGCGAGAGAGATATCTCTTAAAGTTAGAGAGATATCTCTTCAACAAGGTTAAAAGAGATATCTTTCTTAGCTAGAGAGATATCTCTTGAATTTTTCAAGAAGAGATATCCTTCTAAGCTATAGAGATATCTCTTTTAATGAAAGAGATATCTCTTTTCAAGTGATCGTTAAAATAAAATAATGAGATCCCCTTTCAAACGAAAGCAAAACAGGAAGTACGAGGGCTATTCAATAAATAATATCCTCGGTGCTCGGAAAGAAGCAAAAGACGCTTTTAATTAAAACACATGTCCGCAACATTTCTTATCCAATTTCTGATTGTTTTTAGAACTCATTTTTGGGTATGACCCTTAGTATACTGGAAAATGGCGGATCCTATGATTTACTGGACTTGTTTCCTCCTTCTGAAAGGTGTTTTTTTTTTCAAGTTTGGAAATAGAAACATGTCACAAGGTCAAAGATCTGGCGAATATTGTTAATGTGAAAAAACATTAACTTTCTGTTTATCCCCAAAACTCCTTTACTCTTCAGGGCTTGCGGGATTGGACGCTGTCATGAAGATATTTAATGTAGTTGATTCCTGATTCTGGGTCCTTCCACTAATACACCTTTTGATTTTTTTTGCAAAAAATTTGCTTTCTAGACTCCTCCAAAAATTAATTTGTCTCCCCGAATACGAATTTGAACAACAATACCACTTCTATTTAAGAAAATTGCAAATAAATATGTCTTTGTGCTCTTCCAATTCTTTGCTCTTGTCAGACCTTCGTTGTTTTTGTCAAGTTCCTCTTATGGTAAATTTTGTTTTGAGTGTTTTAAGCAATAGATTTAAGTTTCATTATCTGTTTGAATTTCAAACAAACGTGGATAACTACAGTTACTGATATTTTAAAATAATTCTGTCGTTTTCATTCATTTTTCAAAATATAGGGTGACCTTTGTGTACTAAGCTTTATTACCGTCAAACGTTTCTTAAAAACAGTGTAAACTACTCCCGAAATGATGTCTATCAAATTTGCTATGTGTCTTAAAGTCAATTATACATCATCAAATATTATTTGTTGAAATTTGGCAAACAGTACATAAGTTGTTATAATTTTCTGTTAGCAAGGACGGTACCCATTTTTGATGCCCATTATACGTATAATTTTTATCATTGAAATCCACCTGCTCATTTGTCTATAAAATAAGGCATTGGTTGCTGTATATTTCACACATTTCAGTGAATATTTCTTTTGGATTTTTAACAAGTTTTACAAACGCTTTAATGAAGCTTTTATTTTTCACTCTATTTTTCTGATTCTTTACCATTCATTTATAATACCTAGAATAATATATGTACTATGTAGACAAAAATGCTATTATTCCTTTGTTTGAAACAACAAATAATAATGGCACCTTTGTTGATAAACATCAGTGCTAAAAGTTTAATATTCAGGAAAACAAAAGTAAACATAAAATCTCAAATGCAATGGACCGAGTTAAGAATATCATGAAAATGTCGAATTTTCAAAATACTTTAATGTTCTTCCGTGAATAAAAATCATTAATAAAAAAATAAAAAGTCATTTAAAACGCAATTTTAATAAAAATAATGAAGAGAGATATCTCTTTGCAATAAAGAGATATCTCTTTTTGCTTGAGAGATATCTCTTTTGGACACTTTTGAAATAAATATGTTTCACTTTGAGAGATATCTCTTACTTTGAGAGATATCTTTTTAACTTGGAAAGATATCTCCCAAAGTAAAAGAGATATCTCTCTAAGTGAAAGAGATATCTCTTTAACGTTCAGAGATATCTCTTTTCACGAAAGAGATATCTTGCAAGGAGAAAGCGATATTTGTTTAAGTGGAAGAGATATCCCTCTTACAAAAAGAGATTTCTCACTAATGAAAGAGATATCTCTCTAAGTATAAGAGATATCTCTCCAAATTTAAGAGATATATCTTTCTCATGGAGATTTCTCTATAAAATGAAAGATATCTCTTTAAGTTGGGAGATATCTCTATCTTTTAAGAGATATCTCTCTTAAATGAGAGATACCTCTATAATTTTAAGATAAATTTTATGTTCCGAATAAATAGCAAAAGGGCTTGCCATAAAGACATGTTATTCAAAGTCAATTATTATTTAAATTTAAGAAAGGTTAATTCATTTCCTGTGGATTAAGTTGTTTGAGTGAATGCATACAGTTTATAAACAGTGTATATTTCTTTTTATTATACCTCTGTGAATTTGTTCAATATAAAAACATGACGAATAAACATGCTATCTTTTCCAAACAGCCCCTACTGTGAAATAGTTTTTGTGCTATCTGCCCATGGTGAAATAGTCATCAAACTACTCACCGGCAGCATTCTGTTTCCCTCGCTTTTCATCTCGGAAAACTTCTGTTTTTATACGGATTGTGACGCGTATGTATAATGACGTAACAAAAGTTAAGTCAGCATCGGTATAATATGGAATATCATAATTGTGTGTACCCTGGACTCCCAAAAGTTAACAAAAGTTAAGTCAGCATCGGTATAATAAAACACCTATTTACTGACTATTCGGACAATAGCAAGTTTATCGTCCCCCTCGACAGCAAACTATTTCCCTCGGCTGCGCCTCGGGAAATAGTTTGCTGTCTTGGGGAACGATAAACTTGCTATTGTCCTCATAGCCAGTAATTAGGTGTATAATATTCCCTGACGTGTGAATAGTGTGTGTTTATTCTTACTTTAGGTTCCTCTGAATGTCGGTGTGTAATACACTGTATAGGCATTTGATGTTTTTGATTTATAAATACGCTATCGATGAATGTTCCGAATAGTCGACTATCGTTCGAATAATGCAATCGAATGTTCGACCAAGGAAAATAAACATTTTGACATCCCTAATTTAAACTAAATTTGATTTTTCCAAAATATAACACCTATTATGGACCAATTGTTTAAACTCATTCTTAACAAATTCATATAATTATTTCGTATTCCTTAATTAAATAAACATTGTTAATTTGCCATCATTAACGGAGCTGTTCGAAGTCGGTGTATATACTCTATAAAATACGGAAGCCAATTGGTGCCAGGTAGTAAAAATATTTTATCTGGCGCCCACCACATAAATAACTGGTTGACCACATAAATAACTGGTTGACCAACAATCATTTGCCATGTAGCATTTTCAACAAATTACGATCGACCAGCGTACAGCAAAAGACGAAAGGACGGAAACGGATAGCACTACCCAGGGTGAATTAGATGGCGAAAAGGAATGACATTTCATGTTTCAAACAAAGCCTTTCATGAATTAAATAAATTCAATTTTCCGTTATATTTATTTATTATTTTTTTTTCTTTGTGTACATATAAAATAAAACGCGAACGTATGCATTTATCAGTTTATCTTCCAGCCAGCAAAGGATGTCTTTCCGTGATAATCACTCCCGATATTTCCATAGTTATTGTCAACCTGAGTGCGCACAAACACATCGTCACCCTGGTTGGCGTGAATGACAACTAGTCCCGTAACACTGTGGTCGTCAGTCATGGAATGCAGGAATACCGAACCAGAACTGATTTTGTTAACCATCAATTCTGTTCCGTGTGTCGCATGAGTCCACTGCCTCATAACCCATGTGAAAACGTAGAGACCAGATTCAGGGACAATAAAAACTCCTGTATTTGGATGGTAACCATTGCCATCGTTTGTTATGACTGTGTCGAAGATCAGAGTGTGAAAACTACTCGGATTTACCAGGCTGGTGGACATGTAGGCATAGAAAGCGACATTGCCCTCCGATGGAACTGTTGTCGGTCCAAGTATTCTCTCTGTATGAAGAAAGAAATTGAAATTCTGAATTGAATTACTAGTATTCTAGTACTACTAGAATCCGGATAGGGCCATGTAATTCACTATCGCATCATCGATGCCATGGAGCAATGGCGCGATAGCGCAATGACGATGATGCGATGGAACAACAACAATGGTGCGATAGCACGATGAAGCGATAGCGATAGCGATGACACGATAGTGCGATGGTACAATGACGATGAAGCGATATTCACTCGCTTCATCGTGCTATCGCACCATCGTTATCGCGCCATGGCAGCATCCCCATCGCGCTATGCGCCATAGCTCCATCATCATCGCACTATCGCTTCATCGTTAGCGCGCGACTTTTTAGCCGATGCTCGATGGTGTGATAGCGAATTGCATGGCCCTATCCGGATTCCATACATACCCTTGGCATACCATGATACGGTATGGAATCCGGAAACTGCAAATCACTATCGCATCATCGCACCATCATAGTTTAGGTCGATGGTGCGATGAAGCAATGATGCGATAACGATGAACCGATGGGGCAATAGCACGATGACGATGATGCAATGGCGCGACGATGCGATGACGATAGTGTGATAAAACGATGGAGCGATAGTGCAATGGTGTGATGGCGATGACATTATGGTGCATGACGATGATGCGATGGCGCGTCAATGCGATGACGGTGATGCGATAAAGTGATTGTGCGATGACGCAATGCAATAGTATGGAATCCGGATAGGGCCATGCAGTTCACTATCGCACCATCGAGTATCGACTAATAGGTCGATGGCGCGATAATGCAATGGTGCGATAACGATGAAGATGCGATGACGATGGAGCTATGGTGCGATAGCGCGATGACGATGATGCGATCAAGCGATAATGCGATGACGATGGTGCGATAGAACGATAGAGTAAAAGTGAATATTGCTTCATCGTTATCGTACTATCGCGTCATCGTCATTGCACCATCGTGCCATCACTATCGCAACATCGTGTTATCGCACCATCGCTTCATCGTGCTATCGCATCATCGCCATTGCATTATCGCGCCATCGCTTCATCGTTATCGCACTGTCGCAACATAACTTCATCGTTATCGCACCATTGCTTCATCGTCATCGCATCATCGTGTCATCGCATTATCAACCCAAACCTCGATGGTGCGATGATGCGATAGTGAACTGCATGGCCCTATCCGGATTCCATACAATAGCGATGACATGATAATGCAATGACGATGGTGCGCCAGTGACGATAAAGCGATATTCAATATTGCACCATCGTATGGAATCCGGATAGGGCCATGCAGTTTACTATCTCACCATCGAGCATCGACTTCTAGGTCGATGGCGCGATAATGCGATGGCGCGATAACGATGAAGCGATGGTGCGATGACGATGTAGCTATGGTGCGATAGCGCGATGACGATGATGCGATGGCGCGATAATGCAGTGACGATGGTGCGATAGAACGATAGAGCAAAAGTGAATATCGTCATCGTGCTATCGCACCATCGCTTCATCGTTATCGCTTCATCGCTCCAACGACTCAAACCTCGATAGTGCGATGATGCGATAGTGAACTGCGTGGCCCTATGGAATCCGGATAGTGCCACGCAGTTCACTATCGCATCATCGCACCATTGAGGTTTGAGTCGATGGTGCGATGACGCGATAATGCGATGACGATGGAGCGATAAAGCGATAACGATGAAGCGATGGTGCGATAGCGCGATGACGATTATGCGATGGCGCGATACTGCGATGGCGCGATACTGCGATGGCGATGAAGCGATGGTGCGATGGAGCGATAAAGCGATGACGCAATGGCACGATAGCGATGCTGCGATGGTGCGATAGCGATGATACGATAATGCGATAACTATGAAGCGATGCTATATCGTGTCATCGTTATTGCTTTATCGCGCTATCGACATCGTGTCATCGCACCATCGCTCTATCGACTATATAGATAGGATGGCATTCTCAGCAGGTAGTTAATTCGAGCAAAGATTTGATTGCCCATGATAATAAACTGACTTTAATTTTGTATTTGATAATTATATTTTAAATAACAAACACGAAGTACCAAGAGAAGAGAGGGAGGAAGATTTTTGTTTTGTGTTTTCTTTAAATTTTCTTGATTGTGAATACTGTATTTAATGCTGCTAAAATTTCACGATTTCTCAGAAAGTACAATAGCGATAGGTTTAATTTCACCAGGGACCTATATACTAGTATATAGGTCCCTGATTTCACGATGCAAGAAATTAATTTAAATTTCGTATAAGCATTTACTTTTAATAGTTAATGATAGCATTCACGATGGGTTTAATTTTGCGGAAAAAAATGAATCGCGAACATAGTGAAAGTAAAACCATCGTAATTTTTTCCCAATCTACAGTATTAATCCCCCCCCCCCCCCGTTTAGAAACCAAAATCTAGATCACGCGGATTTCGATTTCTTTTACATCATTCACAACATGAGTGTATTGTTAACTTTATCTTGATTATCAAACTATATTTTAACAATTTTCTAACTTGTTATGTGTCTGGCAATAAAGACGTGGTTAATTTTTATGCCAATTAAGTGAAGTTAATTCACCCAGTAAGATCTATTTCTGATATGTATTCTGTTCATACTTTCACAACCTGACGCCATTTCTCTTCTCAATGGCGCATGCGCAGAAGAGTCGATAGCGCGATAGTGCGACAATGCGATGACGATAGTGCGATAGAGCACTGATGATGACACGATAGAGCATCGCTTCATCGTTATCGCGTTATCGTATCATCGGTATCGCAGCATCGCAGCATCGCTATCGTGCCATCGCGTCATCGCTTTATCGCTCCATCGCTACATCGTCATCGCAGTATCGCGCCATCGCGTCATCGTCATCGCGCTATCGCACCATCGCTTCATCATTATCGCTTCATCGCTCCATCGTCATCGCATTATCGCGTCATCGCACCATCGACTCAAACTTCGATGGTGCGATAATGCGATAGTGAATTGCGTGGCCCTATCCGGATTCCATACCTATCCGGATTCCATATTATCGCACGTTTCATCGTTAAGCTACATTTAAGGCGATACTCGATGGTGCGATAGTGAACTCCGTGGCCCTATCCGGATTCCATACCATGCAGTTCACTATCGCATCATCGCACCATGGAGGTCTGGGTTGATAATGCGATGACACGATAATGCGATGACGATGAAGCGATGGTACGATGACGATGAAGCGATGGCGCGATAATGCGATGACGATGGTACGATAGCTCGATGAAGCGTATTGCTATGACGCGATGGTGCGATAGCGATGACACTATGGTGCGATGAGGATGGTGCGATGATACGATGACGATGAAGCGATATTCACTTTTGCTCTATCGTTCTATCGGACCATCGTCATTGCATTATCGCGCCATCGCATCATCGTCATCGCGCTATCGCACCATAGCTACATCGTCATCGCACCATCGCTTCATTGTTATCGCGCCATCGCATTATCGCGCCATCGACCTATAAGTCGATGCTCGATGGTGAGATAGTAAACTGCATGGCCCTATCCGGATTCCATACCAAGCAGTTCATTATCGCACCATCGAGTCATCGCATTACCCTCGCGTCTTCGCCTTCACATTGTCGCGCCATTGCATTATCGTCATCGCGCTATCACACCATCGCGTCATCGTTATCGCACCATCGTTTCATTCTCATCGAACTATTGCTTTATCGCACTATCGACCCAAACCTCGATGATGCGATAGTGAACTGCATGACCCTATCCGGATTCCATAACTGACTGATAAACGGTCATGGCTTTCTTTATAATTAAGGGAGATAATATTCAGTGGATGTAAATATTTTTCATAAATGGAAAAGGAAAAGTTTCTGCTCTCATATATTGCTTAAATATGCGTACTTCTTAAAACAGATGAGTCGTCTTTTGGTGTTCTGTCGTACTGCATCTTTTGGACTGCGTCCTCAATATTTTTAATCCGCGCAGTGTCCTCTTTTTGTTGCTCCAAGCAGGCGGCAGTTGTTTGTTTCAGTTCCGAGATGTTAACGGTGTATTCACGATTAGCATCTTCTAGTTTAAAGGTTCTTTTTTCCAGAACTTTGATGCGATCATTTTGGATATGAATGACTTCACGTAGCTCGTCAACTAAGTTATGTAAAGATTTCAGATCTTTTTCAAGCTCCTGAATCCTTTTTTCCTCGTTTAATTGACCATTTATTGCAAGAAAACGGAAGACCAGAGTCAATGAAATATAAAGAGTCCACATAGTAAAGAATCTAGATGGTTCCTTGTTCTGCACTTTATTATTGATAAGACTGACATGCGCTTTTAATGGTTGTTTATCACAACGTAGATGTAAACTGGGTTACTGATTATCATATACGACAACTGTTCAATAAATTATGTCCTGAACACAATGACATACGATAAAGAAAACATATGACATTAACCTTGGCTATATTTCATGATTGAATCTTTAATTGAAACAATAAAATGCTTTCTTTGTTTGTTATTACTGGAATTAACGGAAGCAGTTGTTGCAAAAAAAAAAACATAACCCGCGTAAGCGGGTTATGTAATTTTTTTCTGCAATAGCTGTGACCGTTAATTCCAGTAATAACAAACAAAGAAAGACATTTTATTGTTTATATTTATATCTGTTTAAATAATCATTTAAATAGGATTAAATAGATTAATTATTGTATTAATGATGCGAACGTCTTTATACGTTTCATTGATGGAACAGCCACTGATCAAGAAATCTGTACAGGCGACATGCCTAATGTAGTTCATGAAGTGATTAACGCAATCGGTTTTCTTAAGAAATAAAGGAGAAAATATTCAGTGGATGTAAATATAAATCGATAATCAGTCGATCCCCAACCTAAGCATCCTCTTCTTTTTTCCCTTCAGCGAGGGACACAAATTCTATCATTTTGATCATTGAAATCCACCCGCTCATTTGTCTATAAGACAAACATTGGTTGCTGTAAACATCACATATTTTTGTGAAAATATCTTTGGTATTCTTACTTATGGTGACTGATAGTCACTCGGCTCTTAAAATGAAATACGTTGAAGTATGCATAATAAATTGTTGATAGCGCGATCTATGATGGGAAAATATTCTGTTACTAAAACTTAAAGTATGTAAAAGTTGGAATTTTACAATATGAATATGAATGATATTAAGCGCTATAAACATAACTAATGGTAAAGAAGTTTATTATAGGATTAAACGTTCTTTTTGAAAAATTTATCGATGTGTAAACTCTTGACATTTTACTCACAAACTAAATAAAAGTGCGAAGGACTTTTATGTTAAGTTTGTGAGTAAAATGTCAAGAGTTTACACATCGATAAATTTTTCAAATAGAACGTTTAATTCTTATAATTCCAATCTCGAATTTTTAAAAAATATTTTAATTATTTCTCTTTGAGGCCTCCATACAATCCGTTATTTCTGGACGGCGTAGGAATACATTTTACCGTAAAGGAACGTAATCGAGTTGAATTTCGATAGAGTTCAACTTAAATTGTCAAAACAATCGATAGTTAAACTTATAACAACAAATGGAATGCTGTTTAAGTCAACAAATATCGTAATAACGAGTTTACTTCAGAATAGTTCGTCTTTGACCATGGCCATGTTGACATAAACAACAACTCTCATAGCGAAACTTGCAGACAGACGACGCGTTCAATATTTGCACTTGTTTATTCAAATATTGAGGAACAATATAGAAAGTTTATATGAATTTGATGCTTATAGGGCAAGAGTTGGAGGTACGTTTCTTTTTTTCCTGTCAAAACGATACAGACTGAGCCTATTTTCTACGTATGAACGTTGAGACAGCGATTTTTAAAATTCACACTCGTAATCGGACAGTGACATAAACATTTTCACGGCGTCCATCAGTTAGGCAGTCTAGTATGTTGCGAGTTTTGTTTAAGCCCTAATTAAATTTAAAGTTTCTTGTATTCATTATTTAGCCAGAACAGACCCAGAAATAACTGCTTTCATTGTTTATACGATAACCTAGTAGTGTCATCAAGAAAGTAGTTCTGATTGAAAGAATTTATCGATGTGTAAAAATTTTCTGGAACGTGTTCTCGTCCAATCAAAACACAGGAAATCAATAGATAAAATGAAGATTGGAATTATTTGGTATTCAAATTTTAATTTTTGAAACATGACATATTGAATAATTTGAATATAAATAAATATGAATGAAAATAGTAGTATAGTTGTAAAATGACCAGTCTGATATCCACTCGTCAGTTTTCCATTTTTGACGTCATTATTTCGACAGTTTCTTGAAATAAAAAAGATGCCTTCCAAAATATTTTGCATAGACAATGCTCACTGTTTTATGAAAACCTGATGACAAATAACTTTAATAATTTTTTTCAACATAATAAAAACTTACCCTTCTTCACAGTTCTTGCAAGTGTCTTCAGATAAAGCTGAAACTTCATACCCAAAGTTGGGTACAATAACTTATACAGAGAGAAGAACTCACGTAACCTTAGTTGAAATTATATTCAATGCTCATTTCCAAGTTACATCAATGAAAGACCATCTAATTATTAAAAAAGATTTCAAATCATTAAAACATTTTTAAAAAATTATTTATCTTTAATGTTTTAAAGCTTGCTTAGTCTTTGACAGTGTTCACATTATAAACGTGGTTTGAAGAAATCCGTTTACCTAGATTTTTGTTTATGGCCACTCCCTTCAATTCTATCCAGTTCGTGTTGCTGTAGAATTCTTGTAGTGTGTAGAGATACTGACCAATACTAAGCAGGAGAAAATCTTTATCAAGCGGACGTGTTTGAACAATTTTTTATCCGGAGTCTAATATTACACAGGTACATGTTGGCTGTTGAGAAAAGTATTTGATAAATGAAAATGCTCTTTCGAACTCTTTAAAGATATCCACATTTATACAAGTCATGTAATAATAATGATAATACGTGACGGTTAATACTAAAGTCTTATAAAATTATATGATTTACCTCTATAGATTTGTTCGCCATTCACATGAACGTAAGCCTCCTCTTGTCTGTATCTCTGTACCATGTTTTCATGATCAATTATTGTTAGTAGTACATTGTAAAAGTTTTGAAATCCATCAGCATCTTTAAAGAACATTTAAAAGAATTCTTTGAAAACTTTGCTAGTGAGTATTTTCATTTTTGGAAAGAAATAATCCATTCCAAAACAATATTAGAGATAAACATGGTTGCACGTGGTTCGTTTTTTTATGGATCAAATTAAATACTAGTATGCTTTTAAACTCTAGCTAAATACTCTTTTAAAAAAGTTAATAAAAGTTTACCAGATCCGAAGTAGTCCATCACAATTTGTTTTGAGTCCTTGTGGGATGCATTCACATATAAACTGGATTGCAGTACTTTGGCGACACCTCGGAAAAAGCCCTCTATTGTGATTTCTCGGTGTGATCTTGTATGGTGTTCACTATGCACGGTCTGAGGCGGGAAAGTCCAGGTTTGGGTGTACATTGCTAGATAAAAATGTTTTTTGTAAATTAAACGGTGTTGAATTCAGACTGGATGCTATCAATGAGGATTTGATAACATGACATAAAAAGGCTATCTGGATATTTCACCTTTTCAGTAGAGATAAGAATTTATCGTTTTGCTCAAATATTAAAGATAAAATGTTTGAAGCGCATACCATTAAGATTTTGTTTTGTTCTATTTCAGGATATTAATTTAAAATTTAAAAAAAAAGCAATAACATAGTATATAGTATATTATGTCAGTTTGTTCCGTTCTGCACAAAAGTGAAATTCATCAATTAAGTTCACGTTACGTCATAGAAAATGTATGGGACCAAGTCAAAGCGCAAGAGAACCAAGTCGAAAAAAATAGGTTGTAAGTGTTCCTTTCTCTTGCACTTGGAATTTTAGGGTGAAAGTTGTGTGTCTTTAGGATGAAACACATGGAGATAATAAACAGTATTCAGCATGAAAAGGCCATAAAACAATACAAAATAGGAGCAGAGCAAATACGGACCTTCAAAACAACAGAGGCGGCATCAGGTGCCATGGGGGAGTGAGCATCCCCTGCCGACCGGTCACACCCGCCGTGTGCGCCTTCTCATGATCGGAAAAAATCCGTCGTCAAATCAGTTTATAAATAATTGACTAACAATAAATATGAAAAACGTCAGTCTGCATTTGACTCAATGATAAATTGTATTTGCTGACAAAGTCTTTGTACTGACCACAGAACTTACAAAATGATGACTTTAAAGGAGAATGTTGATATTCTTGTTCCGTAAACTTGTTTGTCAATAATTTACCTCGTTTTAGAAATTCTTCATACGAAGATCATGCTCTTGCGTATCGAATCAACTAGGGTATATAAAGTCCGGATGAGATGTTAAAAAAGGGTTCCATCCGAAGTGCTGATAAAATGATTATATCTCTTATAATAATATGAGTAAAAATTTCTCGACGTAAATCTACACACAACAATTAAATGGAAATAGTTTACTGGTATTTCTAGATTACGATTTTCTGCAAATAAATCAACAATTATTTGACATGTTCATTGGAAGGATAAAAACATGGAGAAAGTGTGAAAAGCTATCTTCAACTTCAATACAGCACTATTGTAATAATAAAAAAAAACTTGGAGTGGTCTTTTTTAATTAGAATTTAAAAAATTCTTTTCAATCTATGATATTTTAATTGTATGAACATTTGCTTCTATAAATTCACTTGAAGTTGATGAACATTCACTATCTATATTGATGAGATCAAAAGGAAGTTGACATAGACTACATATTTGAATGCAAATTCAATCCATGAATCAGAGGTATTTAAGGAAGAAACATATCATTTAATTTCAATTCAAGCTTCCCGGTATTACCTCGTGTGTTTAAAAGAACCATTTGAAATACACGCTTTGGGAAAATACCGTATTTTGTTTATTTAAAAGGCAGGATACAGTAATTTATATCTATGGAGGACATATGTAAATTACCACATCTAGAAATACTTAAGTCTAACGGAATGGAAATATTTCCCAGTTTGGAAGATTTATTCGCCTGGATCAACAATTCTAGTTGGATATAAAAGAATCTTCTTTCCATTGAAACAAGGGATTTATCTGTAAGTTTTTATTTTATTTTCGCAGTACATGACTCTTTGTTCCTACTTTTTAAAATGGAATTAATATGTACAATGTTTGCTTTTTCTCATCTTTAATAAGTACAATGAAAGTCTATACGATTACTTTTGTTTAAAACAAGTGTAGAGGAGACATTAAATTAGGAAAAAAGGGTGCTTTTATAGTCAGA